AAATACAACAAAAATCAGTTATAGTATTAAATATTATTCCAGTGTAAATCAGCTGTTTTCTGTGTGAATATATAGTAAAGTGTAATTTATTCCTGTGATCAAAGCTGAATTTTCAGCATCACCAGTGTCAGTGTCTTCAGTGTCAAATGATCCTTCACAAATCAGTATAATATGAGGATTTGATGCTCAAGAAACATTTATTATTATTATTATCAATGTTGAAACAGTTGTTGGTCTGTCAGTTGTACAGTTTTTTTTTTTTTTTTTATGATTCTTTGATGAATAGGAAGTTCAAAAGAACAGCATTTGTTTGAAATAGAATCTTTTGTAACGTTATAAATGTCTTTACTGTCACTTTCGATCAAATTAAGTATTGATTTCTTTCCTCCAAAAAATAAAAATAAAATTCTCACTGACCCCAAACTTTTGAACGGTAGTGTATATTTTATATATACACTACCGGTCAAAAGTTTAGATTAAGATTGTTTAATGTTTTTGAAAGAAGTCTCTTACACTCACCACGTCTGCATTTATTTGAATAAAAATACAGAAATATGATTAGAATAAAAAACAAAAAACGTTAATAAACTGTAATTTATTCCTGTGATCAAAGCTGAATTTTCAGCATCATTACTCCAGTCTTCAGTGTCACATGATCCTTCAGAAATCACTCTAATATGATGATATGCTGCTCAAGAAACATAATTTTATAATTATCAATGTTTCTCATTATCAATATTTTTGAGGAAACCTGCAAGTTTGAGCTGTGAGTTTTCTTTTTTAAGAAATTCATATTTTTATTCAGCAAGGACGCGTTAAATTGATCAAAAGTGACAGTAAAGATATTCCTAATGTTACAAAAGCTTTCTATTTCAAATAAAATGCTGTTCTTTTGAACTTTCTATTCAACAAATAATATTAAAATATGCATAATACACAAAAATATGAAGCAGCACAACTGTTTTCAACACTGATATTAAGAACTGTTATAATAATAATGCACCAATAATAATTAGTCAGCAAATCAGCATATTAGAATGATTTCTGAAGGATCATGTGACACTGAAGAAATTATGCTGAAAACGTACAGGAATAAATGACATTTTAAAATATATTAAAACAGTTATTTTAAGTTGTGATAATATAACCGTTTTTAGGTAACACTTTACAATAAGGTTCATTTATTAAACAGTAGTTAATGTGTTAACTAACATGAACTAACCATGAGCAATACATTTGTTACTGTTTTTGTTAATCTTTGTTAACGTTAGTTAATACAAATCCAGCTGTTCATTGTTTGTTCATGTTAGTTCACAGTGCATTAACTAATGTTAACAAGATTTTAATAAAGTATTAGTAAATGTTGAAATTAACATTAACAAAGATTAACAAATGCTGAAGAAGTATTGTTCATTCTTAGTTAATGTTAACTAATGAACCTTATTGTAAAGTGTAACCAGTTTTCATTACATTGATGCGGCTTTGGTGAGCATGAGACTTAAAAAAACATTAAGAAATCTAAATGATTTCAAACATTTGACTACTAGCGTAAGATATATACGCACTTTGTAGTACGTCTTGGCGTTGTTGAATAAGAGCTGAAAGTCGGCTGTGAGCTGCTCAACATCATCATACTCCTCCATCTTCAGCTTCTGCTGGATCTTCATCATGTCGATGGGCTGCGACACCACATCATAGTAATCCGGCTGGTTCCTGTAGGGACGCGTTGCATGTCTTATCCACTGTGATGTTAAAACAGCTTAAAGGGATAGTTCACCCAAACATGTAAACTCTGTCAGTAATTACTCGCCCTCATGTTGTTTAACCCCGTAAGACTTTCGTTCATCTTCGGAACACAAATGAAGATATTTGTGATTAAATCTGAAAATAGTCCGAGTGACGACAGCGGCTCAACCTTAAGTTTATCAAGCGACGAGAATACTTTTTGTGCGCAAAAAACAAACAAAAATAACGACTTTATTCAACTCTTCATTTCCTTCTCTGTGGGCCGTGAGATTTCACGTAGTGTAACAGCGCAGCGCTTCTGTGTTGTACGTCACACACAGGCTCACTATTGGCCGACGCTGGTCGTGTGTGTGTGTGTGACGTACAACACAGAAGCGCTGCGCTGTTACACTACGTGAAATCTCACGGCCCACAGAGAAGGAAATGAAGAGTTGAATAAAGTCGTTATTTTTGTTTGTTTTTTGCGCACAGAAAGTATTCTCGTCGCTTGATAAACTTAAGGTTGAGCCGCTGTCGTCACTCGGACTATTTTAACGATGTCTTACATAACTTTTGGGCCGGCCAGTTTCGATCCCTTAAAGGAGAACTCCGGCGCAAAATGAACCTTTGGTCTAATTACACATTGTTACCTAGTCAACCGTTATCTGAGATTTGTTTTCATGATTATCGAATGTAAATAGTTTTATCTCTAAAAACAGTTTAGCCTATAAAGCTAGTATAACGCTAGTATATTGGGCATAGTGTAATGACAAATAAATATCGCTTGTTAATACCACTAACAAGGCTGAAAATAGCCCCACACGAACACGGTAGCATAATGAGGGTCCCTACCTTCAAACCGAAGCATTGAGAACTTTGTCAGTGTCCAGACAGTTTAATAAGAAGATATTTTATACATAGTCAACTTCGCGTATACAGGCAGAAGCCATCTCAAACTGTTTACATTCGATAATCATGAAAACAAATCTCAGATAACGGTTGACTAGGTAACAATGTGTAATTAGACCAAAGGTTCATTTTGCGCCGGAGTTCTCCTTTAAGAAGCCTATGGAGGAGTGATCCAGCTCTCAGATTTAATCACAAATATCTTAATTTGTGTTCTGAAGATGAACGAAAGTCTTACGGGGTTGAACAACATGAGGGAGAGTAATTGCTGACAGAGTTTACATTTTGGGGTGAACTATCCCTTTAAGTTTTAGATGTTCAGATAATGACTGGCTCGATCTCTCGTGTGTGACTGACCTTCTCTTTGGTGCTCTGATGAAGAGTTCACACAGCATCCTGCCCTGATCATCCTTATAGTCTCTGATAGTGTTGTACAACTCATGACACACAGCGATCTGTAAGGAAAACAGATGTCACTTGATCTGTGAGAGATGGATCACATAAAATGATCATCAGTTATTGATGTCAGAGATATTAAAGAGGTGAAGCTCACAGGGTCAACAGTGGGGATGTTTGTGGTTCTTCTCCTCTTCCGACTGGTTGAAGGTATGGATGTTGTCTGGCTGTCCTCAAAATCTCCTCCGCTCACACTGCTGGATGGAGACGTGGCTCTCCGTCGCTTTGAGCCCATTGTAAACGCTAGAAAAAAGATGTAATAAGTCAAATAGTTAGCTTATAGCTTATTTAAGATCAAACTGAATGCTCCTTAAATATATTCTTTTATAAATGACTGCTGCTGAAGTAAAGTTGTTGCACAGTAATACTACTAATTTAATACCGGGGTACTAACAGAATGATGTGATTAAGAGCAAACCACTTATTGCACCAAAATGTTATAGTCACACAGTTACTAATATACAAACACTGTTATCAAAATAAATAAAAAAATGAAAAAGATTCTGAAAACTCTGTTAGAATGAGATCAAATATGAATTTAGGAATATTTCATAATAGTAACAATAATTGTAGTGACTGATATTTTGGTGGAAAGTATGCTTATCGTGGTAAATGGTCAGTAAACGAACATTTTCAAATCAAATTTAATAATGTATTTATTAACAATAGCCATAAAGTATTATTGTGAATTAACAGTAATCCCACAATACAGTAATACTAATTAGTGCCATTTACTTACAGAATTATGTCTAGACATCATTTACCAATGTTGTGTTTATAAAAAATGGTAGCCATAGTTAAAATATATATATTATTGCTACAAAGAAAAGAAAATGGCAACTAGTATTAGTCACCACCACAAATAAATAAAATTAAAATAAGCAAAATGCCAGAAAGAATCTGAAAGCTTCTAACACTGATTGATGGACATTCCTTAATTATTTATAAATATCTTACAGTATCTTCATTCATCTTTATAGCTGTATATATATGTGGAAAATACGGGAAATTGTTTTCAAATCAGTTTATGTATTACAAGTTGGGCTGTAAAATCGATGTGTGTGTGTATATATTATTATATTTATACTAAATATATATTTATGTGCGTGTATATACACACACATACAGTATAAATATATTATGTTAACACAGACTTTTATGTTAAGATGCGATTACAGCCCTAATTAAATAAGCATTTAATACAATTAATTGATTATTGTTGGTGTACTAGACAATTAGCAGTCATCCTAAGGTACAGTAATGCTTGTTAATACCAGCTTACAAACAGAATTAGTCGAAGCTGATACGTCTAAACATTCATGTGCCATTTAAGGGAAAGATGTCCACACTTTTGAAAGTATGCAGATATAGAACAACACAAGAAGCTGCATATCAATAGAGCACGTCTTCTGCACAACCCGGATTTTATTATGCTGTTATTACAATAGCATCTCCTACATGAGTGATGTGCAGCTATGAGACAATGCGTGAACCTGTGATCAGATGCATTTATTATCAGGTCGGATGATCACAGCCACTTCAGCAGTGCGATGATGATGATGATGATGATGATGGTGAAGGTGGGACCGTTATGTGTCTGCAGACACAAGCTGTGTGACACATGCATCAGGACAGGCGGATAAAAACAAAGACACACACACACACACACGCACGCACGCACTGGGCCATGCAACACTCTGCGTGATGATGATGCTCGCGCTTTATTATAGCACGAACGGCAGATATTGCAAACAATACACAGAGCGCGCGAGGTGCAGGCCTTACCGTCCGTGTCTGATCAGCTGTCTCTGAGAGCTGTCTGAGGACTGACACGCATTCAACAAGGAGGCTGAGTGATTTATTAAGATACTGAGGGAAAAAAATTAACCCTTTACAGCGCGAGAGCGGAAGCGGAAGTGAGGAGTAGACACGTGCTGCTGCTGCGTCGTGTACGAGAGGAGCGCGTGCTGGAGCAGCTACAGACATGAAGAGGCCGAGTGAGTATATACTCTCAAAAATATTATTATTTACGTACTTTAAGTATATCAAAGCAACGTAAATCATTATATTTACCCGTTGTTTGCGAAAAGTATGTAATAAACTATCAGAAGTATGTAGTCAAACACTGACGGAACACACGTGTCTTTTGTAACGTTAGAGTTGAAGAAGGCAAGCAAACGCGTATCATGCGCCAAACGCTTCAAAATACAAAAGAAGGTAAGAGATTTCAACTGTACATTACATAAGTTAATATGGGCTTTTTGGTGTGTGTGTGTGTATATATATATGGGTCAATGACATGCACATTTTTGTGTCCAAGTTTCCTTTCGAAATAATTTGAAAAATTCACTGCTTTATTCTTTAAACCGATTTAGTTTGAATTCATTTTTAATACATTTAAATAATACTTATTGTTTATGTTTTGTAATCTTAACCCCCTCCCCCCCACACACACACACAAAAATGTCAGGTGGTGCAAATGAACAGACTAAGAAAACTATTTAAAATGGTGTCATAATAAAAAAATTAAAGTAATACAAAAATAGCTTATCCTCCTGGGACCCAAGAACTTTGGACTTTTTGTCCACTGTAGTGGACATTATATTTTAGTGAATTTCTCTGACATCATACATGTCACATGACACAACCTGGGTGTCCTGTAAAGAGCACATTCAGGACTTTTCAGAGATACCAAATGTTTGGAGGTTTCACCATGAAAAGAACTTCTCCTTGGTCTTTAAAAATGTCTGACATTAATTTAGTGATCAAATGTAGCAATATGATAATATATTGTAATTATAATTTAAATTGGACTACTTTTTCAAATTGTATTTCATAAAACAACATCTCAGGAAAATGTTATGGGGTTTCAAATAAAAATTAAAGCTGCTAGCAGCATTTAGCGGTGTTCAAGCAGTTAAGGCCTTTAAGGCCGTTAAGCACAAAAGCATCAAAAGACAATAAGTTTTATGTAGCAAGCATTTAACTATTGACATCATAGATGGAATAGACCATGTTTTAGCATGATTTACCATGATATACCACATTTCAGTGTGATTGTTAATGATTTACTATGTTACAGTGTGATTTACCATAGTTTACTATGATATACCGAGTTCTAGTATGATTCACCATGGTTTACCCTGTTCTTGCATGATTTACCACAATTGAACACATTCTAGTAGCCTATGATGTAATATGATTCTAGCATGCTAGCACACATACACACACACACAAATAAAGACAAATGTTGTTGTTGTGGTTTTCAATGCTATTGGGATGTGTCATTATGAAAATATACTTTAATGGTCTATAAGCATTTCACATAATGTGTTTGTAAACTATTAATCAGATTATTTTGCATTTATTCAGAAACCTAGGACTACACACACACATTCTGTTGTAGATACAGTTATTTGAACTATGTGATGGAAAAAAGAAATGTTTACTGCAATTGTTACAATTAATAATAGAGGCAAATTTTGTCCGATTTGTCTGAAATTTTTCAATGCTGTTCAGAGTGATATTAGACATGTTCTTGACCTTTTTTAAAGAAGATCTGAGCATTCATTTAAGAGATCAGCATTTATAGTCAATACAGGCAATTTAACATGGGAAATATATGGTTTTAAAGCTTTTTGACAGTTATAGCACCAACTATGGTCCGATCTCCATGAAACTTTGCATGCTTCTTCACCAAGTTATTACACATATGCTCACCAATTTTTGTGAAGTTCTGAGTTTTTATTTATGATTTATAGGCGTTTGAGTGTATTTTGACACGCCCCCTTTTCTTAATGACCCTGTTACAGTGAACCAAAGGGCAAAGTTCAACATTTTTTTGATAATTATTGATCTAGAGAGTCCAGAGAATTGTCCTAGATTGGTTTGGTTCCGATCGGGCGAAAAACCAGGGACTAGTTTGCGAAAGTAGGTTTTGGACAAAATTGGACATAGCAGAAATTTTTCTGGCCTAAATCGATTTTGGAGATATACATTTTGACCGCCTTGACCCAAGGATCACAGTGGTGTAAAAAGCTTGATTCTAAGTCAAACGGTATAGGAGTTATGAGCAATTTAGTACTTTTGGGTACTGTAACGCCACCTATGGGCCAATCGGGGTCATACTCTGATAGGTTCTCCCCAAACTGAGGCCCTACCACCTGGCCTGGTTTTAAGTCTCTAGGCCTTACGGTTTGGGCTGCACGATGCGTTTTAGGGTTGTTGTTTTTTTTCAAATAGCAATTACAATAGGTTTTCAGCACTTCGAGCTTGAACACCTAATAACAGGCGACCTTTTTGACAGTTATAGCGCCACCTATGGTCCGATCTCCATGAAACTTTGCATGCTTCTTCACCATGTTATGACACATGTGCTCATCAATTTTTGTGAAGTTCTGAGTTTTTATTTATGATTTATAGGCTTTTAAGTGTATTTTGACACGCCCCCTTTTCTTAATGACCCTGTTACAGTGAACCAAAGGGCAAAGTTCAACATTTTTTCGATAATTATTGATCTAGAGAGTCCAGAGAATTGTCCTAGACTGGTCTGGTTCCGATCGGGCGAAAAACCAGGGACTAGTTTGCGAAAGTAGGTTTTTAACATATTTGTGAATATTTAATGAATGATTTGATTGACAGCAATGGATTTAGAGGCAAAGTTGTTCAACATGAGGAGATCTATCAAATGATATGCATATTATGGGAAACACCACGTGATGTGTGCAACACCACGTGATTACAGAGCCATAAAACTCGTTAGCGCCAACTAGTGGCCGATTTCTTTCAAAACTCTTACAGACCTCTTGGGCCATGAGTCGAACATGCCCATTGAGTTTCGTTCCGATCAGCCTTCGTTAACCTCGTCTCATAGGTGCTCAAACTTCATTGGCGGATGGCGGCCATGTTTTTTGAGATACGCCAATGTCCTCATACACATACATGGGGCCTTGGACCAAGACACTGCATACCAATTTTCAAGTCAATCGGACTAACGGTCACGTGGTCATAGCCCTATTTATGTTTTTTTAATGTTATAGCGCCACCTAGCGGTAGATCGACGCGGTTTTTTTACTGTGACCCCAAACTGTCCTCATACACATGTGTGTCAAGTTTGGTGAAGATATCTCATTTACTTCTGGAGTTATAGCCATTTTAGTAAAATAGGCTCCTCCCACAACGTTTATTTTGCGCCCCCTAGCAAGCAGAAATCGAAATTTCGACTTTTTTTTCGATAATTATTGATATTCAGACTCCAAAGAACATGTATGCACTGGTTTGGTTCCGATCGGGCAAAAAACCAGGGACTAGTTCGCAAAAGTAGTTTTTTGACAAAATTCAAAATGGCGGAAAAATTTGCATACCGCAAATGAAATCGGAGATATACGTTTTTTAAGTCAGAAGTCCAGCTTTCCAATGATATAAGACACTTGAGTCTACGACATACGGTCTAGGAGTTATGATCACTTTCGCGCTTTTGTTGCTATAGCGCCACCTATGGGCCAATCGGGCTCATACTCTCTCAACCTCTCCTCGATTTCTGTGCTACCTTAATCCCAAATATCAAGTCTCTAGCACTTACGGTTTGGGCTGTACGATGCGTTTTAGCGGAGAATAATAATAATAAAAATCAGTACAAATACAATAGGTTTTCAGCACTTCGTGCTTGAACACCTAAAAATACTTTCTGTTACAGAACAGGGCATTGATTTCAAACGTGTCCACTGTAGAGGACATCAGGACTAACATCATGTTTATCAGGCATTCTGGGAGACACAACAAGTGAATATGGAAATAAATTATACATCAATATTCCTATGAAATATTAGATATTATTAAAATGTTGCCAATTATTACTCCAATTATTGCACTTCTTTTTTCATTAAATGTTGCTCCAAGAACACATTAATGTGCAAATTAGATAGTGTATAGATACATTGCATTGAATGGGAATATTAATTTATGGCCATTTTACCCACATATTGCAAAAAGTAAAATGGTGCATCAATTTATTCCATTATTTCTTTCATAACATAGTTGAGAATAATCTTTATACAAATGTTGGTTGAAAAAATCCTGAAACCCCAACATTTATTGGTGATTGAAAAAAAATCCCTTTGTTTTTGCCTATACATATAATTTCATGTCATTTTATTTTTTAAACAACTTAGTCCTGGCGTCCACTACAGAGGACATAGCATAACGTATGAATAAAATATTATTTTATATGTATTGTTTTTTTTACCATATGTTTATTGTGCTCTAAACAGTGTGATGACATGGAAAAAAACTAAATTCAAAACAAAAAATTCTGGGTCTCAGGAGGATATTATACTATGGCATCATCATCTTTTATATAAACATTTTAGAAATATCAGTAGTTTAAAGCTGTTAAGATAATTGAACAATTTTTGTTCAGCTATTTGTATATTTTTCAAATGTCAGGGTGGCACAACTGCAAACATGGCTCTTTTATTATGATTGGGTAAGGTAATAACAGTAAACATGCTAATGCATCATCCAGAGGAGCCTAACTGGAAAAGAAGTGCCCTGGAAATCAATTTCAAATTTACAAATAGGTTTATTTAAGCAAGTAAAAGCTGATAGAACACTGATGAGAATATTTTTTTCTATCCAGACAAGTAACCTATTTATTCAATCGAATGTCCGGTTTACTTGTCCAAAGGACAGACACATGAGTCATGACAAGGCTTAATGTTGTTTACTATTTTTCTAAATGTTATTATTACACATTTGGACACTTGCCATTTTTTTCTTTTTTGTCTTTCTCCATTGCTAGGTTCGGGAGCATAACCGTAAATTAAAGAAAGCGGCAAAGAAGACGGGGATAAGCCGAAAGCCAAAGCAAGATGTTGGAGTACCAAACAGTGCACCTTTTAAAGAGGAAGTGCTTCGAGAAGCTGAGCAGAGAAAACAGGAGGTAAGATCATTACTAAAACCAGTAGAAATCAAATTTCATTTTTCCAAACTAATAGTCAAGAGTGTTTTGTACATATCAATTCGCCTTTGGGTAAGCCCCGCCCCCCTTAGTTACTGTTGCTACGTCCGACAAACAAACTTCATCTGGGCTCTGGTATCAACATGACAGCTCTTCCTGCTAAAATTTGATCAAACTTTTATAAAGCAGCAAATAAAGTGTCCGATAGAAGTAGGTAAAAGCGGCTGCAATATCCGTTCGAAGGCTATATTCACGACATACAGGTGAAACGCAAGAAACAACAAGGCATCCATTGAAATGAATGGGTTTCATGTTGCAAAAGCATGTGAAAAAAACTACAAAGTTTGCTAGTCCAAAAAGACTGTTAATCGCACGATAAAAAAAGTTACGCCGTTAAAATGGGTTTGCGTTAACGCCGTTAATAACGCGTTTAACTGACAGCTCTAGTATTTACACACATAGTTAGGTTTATTCGGTTACTAAACCAGAGTTTCCGCTAGAAAAAAATGGTGCTGGTCAAAGTGACCGGCAGAGGTTTCGTTTAACGGACATTTTGATGATATGCCGGTCAAATATCGCCTCTTAATTAGTCAAGTTGAGCAAAACTGGAGGCAGGCCATATAACTTAAAAAATGTCATAATCAGGCCGTATAGAATGCAACATGTTATTATTAGCCTAACTTTCAAATAGACGGAAAAAAACATGAAAGTCCGATTGGCGTCAATCAACACCAATTGTTTTTGTACTATGGTTTCACACACATTCACTTTTTGAAACATTGAGGCACGGATGTACCTATTACAAATAAATAAAACATATCCAGTTAACTAGCAGATCATTCATTTAGTACGCTATTAAATCAGAGATCTAGCGCTAAAATCAGTTGTTTTTTAAATCAAGCTGAGCGCTCGTGTCCGCTGCTATCAGTTGCATGGACGACGCGCTGCGCGAGTTGCGCAATCTTCACTCGGACGCGCGGTTCAATCTATCGCCGTCGCGGAGACTCTACACAGACGAAGCTGCTACTTGGGCGCAGAGATATCACGCAACACCTGAAATAAAGCTTGCCACAAAGAACCGGCGAAAGTAATGATTATGCATGAAACATTTTTGTTGATAAATTGATAAAGTTGATGATGCAGACTCGCCATCTTCACAGTAGTGAACGCGCCTAGAGAGAGAAATGCACACTTCATATGAATAAATTCTTATTTATTAATCCAGGCAAATTTGTTGATGAAACATTGATAAAAATGAAGATACAATTTATACAAAACGAAATAAACTTTAAAGAAAGGCTTTCTACAAAACAAAACTAAATAAGTGGTCAAAATCATGTCTGACCAATTCCAAATGTTTTCCGATATATAGGCCTATTGGTCATCTTATAATCCTATCTTACTCATCTCATGCGGCATAATAAAAAAATAATAACATTAGGCTATATTATTTATAAATATGAAACGTATATTTAAGTGTTTTAACTTATAATAAGCGTCACACCGCTCCGCTTTGCTCACATGCTCTGGTGTGTAGTCTAATGCATGTGTGCGTGCATGTGGTGGAGGGGTGCGATTTTCGAATAATAATCAACCCAGCGATCTTCGAATATTATTTTTGCTTGAAAATTTCGTTTTGTATAAATTGTATATTAATTTTAATCAATGTTTCATCAACAAATTTGCCTGGATTAATAAATAAGAAGCAATAGTGGACAATATAGGCTAATCAGGACACGGAGGCGCCGGCGCGTGCACACTTCTCTCTATAGGCGCGTTCACTACTGCGAAGATGGCGAGTCTGCATCGTCAACTTTATCAATTTATCAACTTTATCAATAATATCAATGGACCTGGCCATATTTGAAACGTCTCACTCAATCGTTCGTTGTTTAGGTCTATATTACAGCGGCGTGCGCTTTATTTGAAATGCAGAATGCGATGTTGTTTAATAACTTTCAAACGGTAGAGCCGGTTCCTTTATAACATAGCCAAAGGTCGGTGTATTTTTGCTTTATACATTTTAGGCTTATTCTCAAATTCATATTGTGTTAGGGGGGCGGGATTATTACGCAATTTTAATCGGACAATTTGACCGGAGAGATTTAATTTTGTCGGACATTTCATTTTTTTCCCGGCCAATGTCCGGTAATTACCGGACAACGGAAACCCTGTAAACATAGAGCAGAATGTATGTACAGCAAATTCATTATAAATAAAGAAGGTACATTTTTCTGAGTGTCTAACTTAAGTGTTAATTATGTTGTTCTTGAAGCTTGAAGCTCTGAAAGAGCAAAACAAGATTGTAAAGAAGCAAGAAAGAGCTGCAAAGAGGAAAGAGGGGAAAGAAGCTGCCAGTGCAGGAGTCGAACCTGCAGCCAAGAAAGCTAAAAAGGTAAGAAGGGGGACTAAAGAAGTAAATCACTGACTCTAGCTTCACTTCTAACTGAATTGATTGTTTGCAGGGGACGAAAGTCAGAGAAGCGAGGGCTGCGGTAGCTAAAGAGAAAAGCGCTAAAACGTTCAAATGCTGCGAGCTGAACAAGGCAAGTTGACAAACTGATATCCAGCATAACAAACTGGCAAACATATATTCCTGAGTCTGTGTGATGGTCTCCAACATGGCCAAAATGGTCATTCCCAAGGTTGATCTTACATGGGGTTGAATTCTTGTGCAGGTTATTGAGGCATCTGACGTGATCGTGGAGGTTTTGGATGCTAGAGATCCTCTGGGCTGCCGCTGTCCTCAGCTGGAGGAAACCGTCCTGAAACACGAGGGAAAGAAAAAACTCTTGTTCATATTGAACAAAACAGGTAGAGAGCAGTCTGTATTGCCATACACTTAAAGTCACCCAGTTATCATGATGGAAACGTTACTAAAGTCTCTTTTAACTTTTCAGATCTTGTTCCTAAAGATAACCTAGAGAAATGGCTTGGGTATCTTGATGCCGAGTGTCCAACTTTTCTCTTCAAAGCATCCATGCAACTAAAGGACAGAACTGTGGTATGTGGTTCCATAATGCAAAACATTCCTTAAAGTGCCCCTATTATGCTATTTTAAAGTTTCCTAATGTTGTTTTGGAGTCTCCTACATAGGCCTGTCGCGATTGTCAATAAATCAATCAATCGCACGATAAAAAAAATGAGCTCGATTAATTTTTCCGGCCGCGATAATTTCCATTTGCATGCTTGTTTGTTTTCCTCGTCTCTCTCTCTCTACCAAAGAGACTGGATGACAACTCTCGGTTTCTTAGCGTAGAGGAGTGAACTAGAGCTTATTCTGCCCGAGCAGGGTTCCCACTCGTCCTGGAAAACCTGGATAATTGATGACAGAAAACATATGGAAAATTAGAGAAAGTGTAAAATGTCATGGAAAATCTTGTTGTTGTCCTGAAATTTTTTTTTTTTAAAGTTATTCGTTTTTTATTTAGGTGAGAACAAAGAGTTTTTCACTGGCCAAAAACAATTACCGTTAGTTGCAAAAAGTACAATGTTCTAATATTTAATCATTTTGATGTGATTATAAGGTCAATAAGATATTAATTGTGCACTGTATCCAGCTTCAGAGGAGTTTTCACAACAGTGCTGAACCCTGTGAGCTAGCGCTGAAGTGATTGACAGCTGTAGTGATTAAAAAAGGAACGCTCTTTGTTTGCTATCTGCATATAACCTAGGGGTGTAACGATACACAAACCTGACGGTTCGGTTCGTCCCACGGTTTTGAGGTCTTGGTTCGGTTCGGTTCGGTTCATTTCGGTGGGGTGGGGGGGTTTAGAAAGCTAAAATTGCTTTTATTTTTTATTAAACAGTGCTTTAATGAACAAATTGTGTCCTTGTCTTTAAATTAATTCAATTACAAGTAAACGTTTCTTAAGGATAACAAAATTATCTTCTAATGCTGTAAACTACAGCCCTTACTTGCACATTACTATAACATTAAAGCTTAACAACAGAGCCTAGACTTTTAGCCTAAATTATATAATAATAATCAACACTCAAATAACAAATTGTATGAAAACATGTAAACTGCACATAAGGCAATTTTTGCATTAACCTGTTAAGCTTCAAGCCCACTTTTGAAAAATCCCCAGAAATGACATACCCAAACTAAAACAGATACAGTTCATGAACCCTTTGCACTAAAAGCACAAGTATGATCTCATTTGAAAGCTGACACCTGGTTGTTTATTGTAAATGTAGAATTAATTATTGTCATAATGAAAAAAACAATTTTAAATAGCTTCAAAGTTTTGTAAAGTTATTAGAAATTTATTTTTATGAAACATCTTCATGAAAATAAAATTGAAGTTGGCCCTGGAGCAATCTAGAAATGCACTGCAGCTAAAGCCACATGTCTGACCATTTTATATTTAAAATCTGAAAATGATAAGTATAAAGCTCTGTATTTAGTTCAATGTTTTTCAAGATCATGTCAAATTACTTTATTTTGATTAGACTCTATTAGCAAACTGATGTTTAGTCATCTTCTGAGTCATCTATTCAGTCTATTGTCTCTATTGTTTTGTGGTGCCCCATTCAGTCTCAGTCTCCCCTGCACACATTTACACCTCTCCAGACTGGTTATTATGGCTCTAAATATGCATTTCTTTTGTCTGCATTATAGCTACTAACGACTGGCTATTCACAAGCTATTCATAGGGTTTCAAACCCTAATTTCTTTTATCAAAGTTCTCACTAAATATTTGAAACTGGTATCAAATGCACTGAAACATTTCAGTAAGCATTCCTATTTAGAAAAAAATCAAAAAACAATAACTGCTCGTGGCAGGTGCGCCTGGGCTCGCTAGCATGTTAGCTTAGCACACCATCAATACACGACCATTTATGAGATTAAAACTATGTTTGCGCTCCAAACTCACTATATAACGCAAGTCTAGTGTTTTAAATAATCTTCTGTGATCTAACTTGGCTTCAGATAAAAAAAAAATCAGACAGAAAATGTATTATTTAGTGTTCTGAACGATGATGAAATCTATATCGATTAGCATTACATTATAAATATAATCTATTATTATGAAATACCTGGCATGGCTTGAAGAACACAGGTAACTCAAATATCATTGCAATCATGTTTATTGTCTTCAAAACATCTTTATCTGCATGTTACAGCGATCTCTGTACTTTCTGTGTCACTCAGTGACGTCCTGGAATGTCACATGACTATGGGTCTTCTTCATGATCCATATATGGACTTTTATTGGACATAATAGCGCCCCCATGCTATTGGTATGAATGGAAAACACAGCACATCTCAGTAAGAAGCGATCATTATGATTACATCGACGCATTTGGGTATAAATTCAATAAATATTATTCCTGTCTATAGAAATATGATGTGAATCTATGAGAATATATCAATATTTCTCCACATCTGCACATTGTTGAGCTAAAAGCCCTCAGGGACGTTGTTTTGTGAATCGCTATCATGACGACAGCACGGAGTGTTTTTTATGAATAGACCAGCTGACGCTCATAATTCATATTAAAGGTATCGACTCATTTTTTTCATTTCATAACTCCTGACACAAATTAAGACAAAACTGTCACTATAAGTTTCTCAGAATACAATAGTGGTCAAATACTGAATCTTGAGTCTTATATCTTTTTAATGATGTATAGTTTGTCAAGGTATAACATTAAATCTGATAGTATATTTGAACTAAATAAAAAAAAAAAACGCTTCAGTGCGCCGACGCTCTGGAGAAGGTTAAGAGGTTAACATGTTTTTACTCTAATTTGTTATTGTTATATAATAATTTACAGTTGCTGTTATTTTCATGACAACTATTTTAAACATACTTTAAATAATCAAGATATCATAAACAGGTTAAGTAAAATATAATATATAGGCTAATATATAGCATTTATTTAGTGAAAGAGTTAGCAAACCAGCAAGCTGTGGACACTGAATGACTTGCCTGAGGTAAATATAAAGCTATGTGAAAAACTAAGCGTTTTATTGACGTATTTCCGCTGTTGAAACACTGATTGAGTGTTTACACGAGTTATGATGCCTTTCAGTAAGTATACTGTATCTTTCAACTTACCTTCGGGTGTCCATTCATGTTTATTCTGTAACTGAGGAAGAGATGATCGCGCTCCGCGCTGCCGCATGCATACAGTGATATCTGTCACGCCACATCTAAGAGCGCCAAAACGGCATTTATTGTTTGCATTTCGTGATCAAATAGACATAATTTGAAAGATTACACCTGGCTTATTATCAAAAGTAACAAAACACTGAGCTTATTGCGATTATATGTGGTAATGGTGCTTAGGCAACACGCAACAGCCCTGTATTCGTTGTGTACACATTACACATGAGGTGCAATGAGCCGGGGCTGGGCGGGGCAGCAGGGGGCGGGGCGTGTTCGGTTCGCCATGAGAGTATCGCGATACGTATCGTGGGTGGTGTATCGCGGTTTTTCGGTTCGGTTCAAATATCGTTACACCCCTAATATAACCCATTCGCAGTTTGAAAAAAGTTTTATTTTTCATGCTGCTATGTATATACACACTGCAAAGTTTTGGGAATGACTAACTTATTTAAATGCGGGATTGAATCCAAAATTGTATTGATTGACATGGTGATAACCAGCTTTGGATGGGACAAAAAATTCTGATGTCAAAATAGATGAGTGCATTAAGTGTAAATGCTCGTCCACACGAAGACGCGTTTAGCTGTATACGTAAAAACTTTGTATCTTATCAGCGTTTCGATACAAACAGGTCGAAGTCCACAGTAGTCAATTGTCGAGTTCGCGCGCGGGATCATTGGTAACTAGATAACTAAGGATCGCGCACGCAAACTCGGCAATCGACTACTGTGGACTTCGACCGAAAACAGGAAGAAAATGGACTTGGACAAAAACTACGATAAAACCGGTTGGAAAGCATCTTTTGCAGCGATGTTTGTGTGAGCATATCAGTGAACACCCCAGACCACTCGCTGAGTTTCACGTCTTTGTAAACTAAAGTTTAATGCGTTTTAGGAAGGATTGTTCCAGTGCACCTATGCAACCATTGTAGAGGTGGGGGGTGCAACCACAGAAACCGAAATTTCTCGGGACAGCAGCATCTCTCCAAATTTTAATCTTAACCGTTCTATTTAATCAGAAACGATCTTGAAACAGGGCTTTAAGTGTAAAATACCCAACTTGTCCTTTAATCCGATAAAGGAAAACGGGTTAACGCGTTTACATGACCACATCATTGTTTGCTTAAGCGCACTCACCGTCACTTCATATTCTCCATTTTACAGTCGCAGAAGAAGCAGAGAGGAACTAATGCCGTTCTGGATCACAGCAGAGCAGCTTCATGTTTTGGACGTGACTGTCTCCTACAGACGCTTACTGACTTGGCCAACAAGAAAGAGGGCGAGACCATGCTTAAAGTTGGCGTTGTCGGTAAGACTTGTCATTTGTATGCACCACAGTGATCTCATTTCGTCATCATGAAATAATTTCGTAACTCCTTAGTGTTTATTTAATTTTTTTTGATCTTGAACGTTTTACTGTCGCCTTGTGTTCAGGTTTCCCTAACGTGGGAAAGAGCAGCATCATCAATAGTCTGAAAGAAATGCGAGCCTGTCATGTTGGCTTACAGAGAGGATTGACCAGGTAAAGTTTCATTATTTTAGTGTCCTCCGAGTGTATATGTGAATTTGAAGCATGATGAACTGTATTGAACTGAACACCACATGAAGTCTTCAATCAATCCAACACTGAGCTTCATTTCCCAAAATGCATTTCTGCTGCAAGGCATTGAGCCTCAATAACATGCCAGCCTCAATGATATTCTTCCCCTCCTATATAGATGTATGCAAGAAGTGCATATTACTAAAAGTGTGAAGATGATTGACAGCCCAGGGATTGTGGCGGCCCCCAGTAACCCAGGAGACGTGCTGGCCCTCAGGAGCCTCCAGGTGGAGGAGAAGGAGGAGAGTCCCCTGGAAGCAGTCAGGACTTTACTCAAACAGTGCAATCAGCAGCATGTAAGGAACACCTTAAGAAATCACAATAGGAGATTTGTGGCTTTTAGATCATATATTAATGACTCTAAAAATGAATTTTAGCACGAGAATGTATCCTCTCTCTTAAAGGGATACTCCACCCAAAAATGACAATTCTGTTAAAGTATGGGTAACGCTGAAGCTGATGCTTCATTTATTAGAGACCAATATGGCATTGATTCAATGCGTGACTCGCTGATTTTATTTCCCCGCGGCTTCCTCGCGCTGTGGAATGCTGACCAGCGCTGCTGCTGACGCGCATTTATGGTAAATACCCGTGACGTGAACGCTAAAAGGATGATACGACAAATATTTTGCTTTCCTTTGACACGGCAACCTTTTTCACGAATGCATATGACTTCAAAGACACAGCCGCAGGTAATCGCACGCGCTCTGCCGATCTCTCTCATTCACTGTCTGTGCGAAGCCTCATAGGCTACACATCGCCACGATAATAAACAGTCTTGTTTGTTATCATTATGAACTTGTTTAACATTCAATACACATGCATGAAGTTCAAAACAAGCAGTTAAATGTCTATAATAGCCTAATAGTATCAATATGTTGCATAACTACAGTCCTGTAATTCAGGTAACAGTTGGAAAAAACAAAAACACTTATCTAAATCTCGAAAATCGGATCAGATCGGATTGAATAATGAATATCGATTCAAGATCTTGAGAATCGGAATCGATTCTTGAAATTTGAATCGAAACCCAGCTCTACATGCGACGCATTGCTGCTCAGCTGAGTCTTGAAAAGTGGAACTCAAAGTTAAAAATAATTAACACCTTGTTTCATTACATCTCTTTTAATGAATCAGCTTTTTTGAACGTGTTCGTTGAATGAACGAATGACTCACTCAAAGCCCGTTGTTGTAACAGTGTGCGCGCTGAGTGAAAGCCTTTCAATGCGCATACAGGGATCTCCAGTCGCGGCAAGTTAAAGTTCACGGGGAAAATGTAAGCCTATTATTAAATCGATCCTCTCCTCTGAGTTACGGATCGATCTTTAGAAATTAATATGAAAATCGATTCAGAATTGGTGAATCGATTTTTTCAACACAGCCCTACTACTATGCTAAATGCATACCGGTCTGAGAAAGTCACAGAATTTTGAATTAAAATATTAAATTAATAAAATAACTTTTGGAAATCGCACATGCTCATATTGCGTTTGTTTCACAGCTGTAATACATTTTCTATAGATAATTATTATTAACTGTTTTGAATGCCAACAATGTGTGTGTATATTTTCATTGTTTTTTTCCCCATAAAAAATTAAATTTTTTCAGACAAATGCAAAACTTTTAACAGTGGAAATCCTTTGTGAGGGGTCAATTACTGCATTTTTCTTTTTAACCTCATACAGTATTGCAAACGTTTTGTTTCATGTGTCTCTTTCAGATAATGCTACAGTATAATGTCCCAAACTACAGAAACTCCTTGGAGTTCTTGACCACCTTAGCCAAGAAACGAGGTTTCCTGCAGAAAGGTGGCATTCCCAACACAGAGCTGGCAGCCATGACGTTCCTCAACGACTGGACTGGGTCAGTTTCAGAGTGTATTCATCGTACATCATTCTTAAAGGGATAGTTCACCCAAAATGTAAACTCTGTCAGTAATTACTCGCCCTCATGTTGTTCAACCCCGTAAGACTTTCGTTCATCTTCAGAACACAAATGAAGATATTTGTGATTAAATCTGAGAGCTGGATCACTCCTCCATAGGCTTCTTAAGGGATCGAAACTGGCCGGCCCAAAAGTTATGAAAGACATCGTTAAAATAGTCCGAGTGACGACAGCGGCTCAACCTTAAGTTTATCAAGCGACGAGAATACTTTTTGTGCGCAAAAAACAAACAAAAATAACGACTTTATTCAACTATTCATTTCCTTCTCTGTGGGCCGTGAGATTTCACGTAGTGTAACAGCGCAGCGCTTCTGTGTTGTACGTCACACACATGACCAGTGTCGGCCAATAGTGAGCCTGCGTGTGACGTGAAGCCTATGGAGGAGTGATCCAGCTCTCAGATTTAATCAAAAATATCTTAATTTGTGTTCCGAAGATGAACGAAAGTCTTACGGGGTTGAACAACATGAGGGAGAGTAATTACTGACAGAGTTAACATGTTTGGGTGAACTATCCCTTTAAGTAACTTTTTCTAAGTCGATTCCGCAGTCTCCTCCTAAGCATGATGTTGTGTGTTTTAGAGCTAAACTGAGTTACCACAGCAGAGCTCCAGAGCGACAGGACCTCCCCTCGTACCTCTCTGATGCCATTGTGACTGAACTGCAGTCAGGTCTGAACATGGACATGGTGAGGGAGGGCAACCAGAATGTTATCAAAGGTACATCAGTTCATTGAACAAATCAGAATATAACACTTGATATTTTATGAAGCAAAATATCAATGAAATGTACCTGTCCTCAGGTGTGCGGTCCCCAAATCTAGCGAGCAGTATCTATTTTAGCTCAAAAGGCCCCACTGCTGGTGTGCTGAATGCCAGCGAGCTGCCTAAAGAGACGATAACAACGACGGTAACAGAGGAGACGGACATGACCGTCAGCACAGACGAGGTACTTCATACGAGCGACGCACTTCTGTCATCAGAGACCATGAGAAATGATGAGTTTATTCTTCACATAAGTCCTTGATGACCTTTTAATCCAACTCTGATCTCTCTCTGACAGCAACTCCAGTAGATTCGATATTCACAAACCATATATGAGATAAATGTTATTGTTTCTCAGAATGCATATTGAAGAAGTGTCTTGAGTTTAATGCAGCTTAAAGGGATAGTTCACTTTGAAATACATTTTTGGTGTGTTTTAGCTTACCTCGAGGGCATCCAAGATGTAGGTGTCTTTGTTTCCGCAGTAGTTTCAGTTTTGATATTTTTAGGTCAAACCGTTCTTGTCTGTCAGTCATATAATGCAGGTCTATGGTCACCACCTCAAAGAGCATGCACAGAGAAGTCCAAATTAAACATGATTTAATGACTCGTAAATGTAAGTACACATTGATGGCCTAAGACACGAAACGAGCGGTTTGTGTGAGAAAACGAACAGTATTTATATCGTTTTTACCTCTTGTAACGCACAGACCGAAGCGCCGGCGCCCTCAGATCACTTGGACGTGGCTGTGTTTACAAGAGGTAAAAACGATATAAACACTGTTCGCTTTCTCACACAAACCGCTCGTTTCGTGTCTTAGGCCATCAATGTGTACTTACATTTACGAGTCATTAACCCTCTGGGGTTCTTCGGGTCAAAAATGTCCCGAAGCGTTTAAATAAAAATGTTAAAAATTGTAGCTTCATCGGAATGGTCCAAAACTTGGTGACTTTTTTGGTACTTGGTATATGAACACCCAAAAAAATTGGGAAAAGGATTTGAAAAGTCTAAGTGGTCTTAAAACAAAATAGTCACACTCAGGACCTTCGGGTCAAAAATGACCCCCATAGGAAATGAATGGGAAATTGGCAAAAATTTGATAATAGTTTTTTTGTGCATACAATCTACAAAACAGCCAGAAAAAAAGCACACAAGAGTGAAGGGGTGAATCTCTTAAAACAATGGGTGACAATGCTTTCCATTTGTTCTCTTTATAATGCAATGTTCAGGTTTGACTGTATTATAAAGTAAAACTGCCACTTCAAATTACCATTTACACCAACCCAAAATTATTATTATTTTTTTTAATTTAAAAAAATGACAAAAATAGTCTTTGAGAATCTGTTATTATATATTCAAATCAACAACCTAAAAAAAATTAAACAATATGTGAAAAAATCACTAGAGTGTTTCTACCATAGGTTTCTACAGAGAGCTGTAAATCCACTAGTGGTAAAAATGTGCTATTGCGTGATAAAAATGCTCAGTGTGTCCACCAGATGGCTCCGATCTCATTTCAAAAATTGCTTTCATGAGGCCTAGACTTGACTCTAAAATGAAATACAGCTTTAATAAAATTTTTTTTTAAATTATATATATATATACATTTTCTATTATATTCAATGGGAAAAAAATGGGTCTTAATTATTGCATAAATATTAATTATAAATCATAAAATTATCTCAAAACACCAAAAAAGAAAAGAAAAAATGTTATTGAACAAAAATATTTTTCATTGATTTTGCTCAAATAAAATGTATCTTAATGCCGCCCTCCAAGATGTGAGTCTAAAATGAAGAACCCCAGAGGGTTAAATCATGTTTAATTTGGACTTCTCTGTGCTGCTCTTTGAGGTGGTGACCATAGACCTGCATTATATGACTGACAGACAAGAACGGTTTGACCTAAAAATATCAAAATTGAAACTACTGCGGAAACAAAGACACCTACATCTTGGATGCCCTCGAGGTAAGCTAAAACATACCAAAAATTTATTTCAAAGTGAACTATCCCTTTAAGATCTCTCTTTTTTTTTTTTTACAAATTAAATGTCAAGTCAACCGTTTATTTAAAAAAATAAAATAAATAAATAATGATGTTACACAGATGCTGTCCACATTTAAGCCTGAGGCTGAGATCCCCGTTCCAAAGATGGAGACACAGATTCAGGAATCAACACAAAAGAGAGACGGTATGTTGTTTTGTGATTTACACCAATAAACTTTCTCTTTCTTTTGGTGTCTTCTGTCTATCAGTTGTTTTGTTGTTTATCTTCTGTAGACAAGCCAACTAGAGAAACTAAAGTGAAGTTTGTCAACGTCGACCTGACTTCAATGCAGCACAACAACAACGATGATGATGCGTATGATTTCAACACAGATTTTGTGTAAAATTTCATGGACAGAGGAATCAGATTGTGAAATGTAGTGCATCTGTATGTATTCATTCCTATTAAAATGTGCATTATAGCTTGTTTGACTAAATAAAGGGTTAATACTCTTATATTGCATACAAAACTTATACAGACCTTTATTCAATACTTTGTTATAACACTTTTTCCTTTCTGTACAAATTAGCATGATTTCCCCTTAAGTCTGAGGACAAAACTTGACAAGGAGAAAAAATATAGACAGAAATATAACTGAACACTTAACAGAAGGGAAAAGTGGTTTGTGTAGTGTCAAAGAAAATCTGAAATGTTAATTGTTACAGGTTTGTGTCATAAGCCCTGAAAAACTAAAATATTGATAATGAAATGGAAATTTTGCAACAAAAGAACAAGTGGGTCTACAATTCTAGCCCAAAATATTCAGGATTATACGACATTTAAAAAACAAACAAAATCTAGACACTTGCATGGATGTAGTATATACAAAATGTAAAAGCTCTGCCATAAATGTTTGTGTTATTACTTTATAATTAGACGATGGATGCTGAGGTAGTGCATTGATTGCTGTTGCTCTGTTCCCATGTTGGTCCCAGTATCTAGGTGTCTTGAAAGGACATTACAAAGGCCCCATATTTTGCATCCAGAAATCCACTGAACAAAGCCACATGTCTGACAAGGTCCCTCCACAAAGCACTTGTTTTTGTTTTTTTGTATGCATGTAGTCCAAACCACAGTCTATTTTTCCTCCGTGTGTCTCCGGATTGTGTGGAATTTACCTGTGGGATCTGGAATGTACCATTTGTCCCAAATGTCAGAAAAAGAGGAGGTTCTTCCCCACGGTTTATAATGTCCGTTCCAATGGAGAAGTTTAGCAGCCTTCACAAACTGAGCCGAATACCGATTCCCCGCTCCTGTCGCCCCTAGAAACGTAAAGATCAGAATTAAAAACTATTGGTCACGAAGAGATTCGGAAAGCTGCTTTACATTATGAACCTGGGCCCGTATTCATAAAGAATCTAAATTCTAAGAAAATTCTTAGAAATGTGGGTGTTTACTCTTAAAATTAAAGAACAAAATCCTAGTAAAAAGTAATTCAGAAAGTATCTTAACCCTTAAGTGTCACCGGCGGGCCCAAATCCATTACATTTTTAAAACGGTAATATCCTATTCTAAACCTAAACTAATCTTGACAAACTATATTTCATTTAAAAGCTTACAATCTCTAGTTTCCATATTTGGTGATTTTCAAAATAAATAACAGAGGAGCCGTAATTGATCAATTTGCAACAAGTATATTTTCATACTCCTAAGGCGTGTTTAGACCTTTATTTTGAAATAGTGATGAACATGAAAGAAGGGTAGAAACCACATCAGTTTGTTTTCATGCCAAGAGTTCAAAAGATAGCATCCATTCAATTTTAGAAAAAAAGTCTGAATTTTTTTTTAATGTAAAGAAAATTATAGATTCACCATTTGTGATGTGGCAGGAAGCTATAACGCACATATTTGTTCTTTTTATGTGTTTCTTAGAGGTTGAATTCATTTCAAAATCTGCCAAACTTCTCATATTACTTCTGAATAGGATCTCTACTTCATAAATTGTATGAAAACTGTGGAAATAATGGTTCTTATCACTAGCCTCGTGAGACCATCCTGATCTCGCGAGCTTTCAAGGTTTCACTCGCAGATCAGTCTGGATACTTTCCGTTAAAGAAAATTTGGGAGCAGTTCACCAAACGAACGTCCAATCAGCGTTGGCTTTGAGGCGGGTTGAGGTGTGACGCAACGAGAAGCGCGTCAGTTCAGTCTAAAGAACATGTCGGCTTCAGCGGATGAAACTAGCATCAGCGTGGCTATCGAGCAAGTTTTATCGGAATTACAGAGTATTTCTTCACTGAAAGAAGAGCAAAACACTGCTCTGGAGGCTTTTCTCAGAGGAAAAGATACGCTCTGTTAGTACGTCATATGCTTCGTTGATCTGATTGGTTGATTTGGCCCGTCTATCACCAACATAGGCCAATCAGCTAACCAGTATTTTCGCCCCTTACCAAAACTACTTCAACGGAAGGTTTCCAGATGGATATGCGGAGCAAATCCATCTGGCGGAGTCAGGTTATCTTATCACTCAAAACACATATGGAAATGGCGGCGCCCTTATATGGGCAGTAATGGAGTCTGGTTGTCATCTAGTGGAAGCGTTCGGTACTGCGCCCAAACAAAATCTCACTGAAAGCTCATTTAAGATATCAACCTAAAATTTAAAACACAACTTGTTCAGATTTTTGGCTTTTTTTTTTCTTTTTGCAGTTTTAGTCACCCAGGTTTTGAAAATATATATTTTATATAAAAAATGAATAATTAATTTTTACATTGTACTTTTTCATAAAATTCAAACGTCTATAATTTTTTTTCTTTTTCACTTTCTTAATTTATTTCACTTCTACAAAAATCTGCCAAACGTCTTCTTTAAAACTAGACCAGCCTTACGTCTATATTCCAAAGCATTCTTGAATTACAACCATTTAAAGCAGCACTAAGTAGGAATTCCATTTTTGTCAAACAGCGACCCCTAGAGTCGCTGTGGAGCACTTGTACTGTCGTGAATAGCACTCACGGCCGGATCCCCTCCCCCTGTACACCGGTACCTGTTCAGTAGGATGGACGCTGTAACGAGTGGAAATAAGGTATGGCCCCTTTAAGAGCTGCGCGCGCCCTGTTTAACTGTCGGCAGTCTGTATTGTATGTGCGTCTCGAACACCACATGTATACGGCGCCGGGTTGCTCATTTTATCAGATCTGTTTTTTGCTGTAAAGCAATTCGTTACCTCGCGAGACCTGATTTCACACGATACTTCCTAACACTGAGGCCGGCGCCCCTCCGGCCCAAAGTTGCAAGGGTGGTTTTGCGGCTCACAGGCACCAGGGGGTGCGAGACGACCACTAGTCAACACGAAATCAGTAATATAAACATTACAATGACTCCAAAGCTGTTCAGTTAAGGTAAAAAAGTTACTTAGTTCACCTTTAAAGGGGTCATATAATGCCATTTTTGTACAAGCTAATATGATTCTTTAGGGTCTAAATTAAAAGTTTGTAATATACTTTAATTAAAAATTCTCATTAGTATTGTAAGAAAACACTTATTTTAACTGGTCAAAAACAGCTCTGTTTTCAGCATGCCGTTTCAGTGCATATGCCTTTAAATGATAATGAGCTTTGCTCACCCCGCCTCTCTGTTCTGTGCGTACACCGTTTGTAACACAATAACAAAATAACCATAACGCGTTGTTCAGTATAAACGTGGAATTATGAATTATATTGAGAATGTCGTACATAGAAAACATGCCGTAATGTACCCTGAGTGTAAACCTTAGACGCATTCATCGTGAAGCGTGCAGCTAGCGATTTGCAAAGATTAATATAAAGTTTAATAAAACGTTTCACTCACTTCCGTTCTTCTGGAGGTTCAGCAGGAACACGAATATCTGGTACCGATCCTTTATTCATGAGCAGCTTCTTAGCAAATCCAGCTTTATACTGATCCTCGTTTATAAAGCAGTCTGGTGTGTGAAATGATTCGCACAAACATGAGAGCATTGGCGTTGCTCGTGGGGAATATTCCCTTCGAAAACAAACTCAGCCACTGCGTCTTCAGCGGTTCGGATTTAGGAAAATTAAAATGACTGTGTTCGTTATTACACCCAAGAACAGAACACCACAATCGCTTAGACGCCATTCTGCTCATAGACAGAGCTCCAGCATATCAACAATGACCGCGCCGGTCCGCGCAGACTATGATTGACAGCTGGCTCACGAGCGAGGGCGGGTCTGTGTTGAAACACTCCCGTCAATCAACAGTCGTGGGAGGGGCTTCCGTTTTATTGACGTCACAAAAACGAACGGCTTGATTTGAGGCAGGGGAAAACATATAAGGAGATTAAAACAAAAACACTGGATGGATTTTTATCATTATATGTTGGTTGTGTACAGGCACTGCCAACACACATTTCAGTACAATCAACTTGTAAAAGTGCATGTACCATTATATGACCCCTTTAAGTTCGAAATGTGCATTTTCACGATCTTCAAAAAAAGGGGGGTGACACTTAACAGGTTAAAAGAGGTCTTAAGGTCAAAGTTGTTAGGAGTACGGACGAGGACTTAAGAGTTTCTTTAGCAGAGGAGAAATGGCAGAAAGACGAAGAGGGACAATGGATGACAGTGAGTTAATAAGACGCTATAGATTGACACCCGGCCCGAATGTTCCTTTAAGGATGGCCTTGTGTTCATCCACTAACTGGGCTCACAGTAAACACTGTTCCTCTGTCCAGCTTTCTCGTCCTTCTTGGTTTTGATTCCATGTTTGTTACATTAAAACCAACATTCAAACCAGCACTTAAATAGACATGCCAGCAATCAGTGTAATTGGAAAGAGTGGAACAATTTTTATCATTCTAAGCCAATCAAATACCATATAGGAAATTAACAGCATGGTAAAAAAAAAAAAAAAAGGATTTATATACACATATATAATGTGTGTGTGTGAGAGAACGGTCAAATAGGAAAAATTACGCATGTAATTTCAAAGTGAAGGCTTAGAATAGACCCTATACTTAAATCACTCTTTTTTTTCCTTCTTGGACAACCAACCAATCACAGTCTTCAAAAGATTGTGTCATACATAGCAACAGGGTCAGCCCCGCCTCCTCACTAAGATGAGAGTTGTCTCTTTTTCTTACTCAGAGTTGCTCTTAGATCGGTCCCGAATCGCTCTTGAGCTAAGAGTCCTACGTAAAAGTTTTTAAGCTAAATTAAGAGTTTTCTGAGTCTTTATGAATACGGGCCCTGAGCCTCAATGACTTGCTTACCGAGATGTCGGACGTGCCACATGGGATCGATGTTCGAGTGGTGCTTGTAGAAGACGATGAGCATAGGAGGCGTTGTGATGCTGTCCGCTAAAGTCTTACTGTAAAGATCCTCTCTAAAGCAAAATGACCACACAAAACATTAGCGGCCTGGACCGAGACGTCTTAGGTGATGTGAACAGATTAAACACTGGAAACAGATTTTACTCCAGTTCTTTGCCTTGCAACACACAACAGCTGCCCTTAAAGGGGTGGTTCAGGATTTTGGACATCGGGCCTCATTTCCAAGTTAGCCTTAGTGTTATTTAGCAGTGGAGACAGTTTTCAACAAATTTCATCCAGTCGTTCCAGTTGCATAGTTCGCCGGTGCTAGGCTAGCGCGAGTCAACGGTAACTGCTAGCCTGCCATTAAAAACAGTTTTACCCACTCCACAGTTCACCAAACACAAATATAATTATAACGCCAGACTATCGATGTAAATGTCTGTTAAGAGAATAATGTTAGAAATCAAACTACTCTTGCATCTCAGTAGCCGCGTTTCCACTGTCGGGCCAGGGCCGGGCCGTGCTAGTGCGTGCCAGGGCCAGTCGCGTTTCCACTTTCACTTCCGGGGCTTGATCGGGGCTTACTCGGGGCCAACGGCCAGGATTTCTGGCCCGTCGAATACCTTGGGCCAAAGCGGGCCAGCTCGGGCTAGAGGAGTGGTTACGAACAGAGGCGGGGATTACCTGAGTCGAGAGACAGGAGCGCCGAATGATTCTGTCAGCATTAAAGACTTTTAAAATAATTTAACTCACTTTCATGTTTGAATGCCTTCTGTTTGTGATCCGATGTGGATTATGATCACCGTTAAAGATAGAAAAAATGTATAGGCCTACGCGATGCAAAAGACTATGCGCGTTGCATTACCATAGTAAACATAGTAGCTAAGATCCGCATGGTAAAAAAAACATGGTGAACGCTTGAAGAAATCAGACCAATCTTAAAGGCTATCACAATCATGTTTTTATTTGATCTGTCAGTAGCATACGTCTCGTCTCTTTATACCGGACTATCATAAAATAAAGCAACTTTTTTTTCGGGAGCTTTCTGTTTATCTGACTGAAAATATCTGTAGCCTACTGGGAGTTGAGAAAGTGCTAAAGCTCATCAGGTCGTATTTTTGGTAGCATATATTTGTAGAAATTATCTTTCTTTCTAAATGTGATGTAAATATGTCCTGTAACTAGCCTACCAAATAAACAGAAACAGACGCGACTGAAGAAGTAAGCGTGTCCTCTTTCTTTTGTGAAACCTAATGGTAATTTATTTCTGTGTGACTAATGTGCAATTTTGACACATTAATTCATGATCAATATATCACTTTTTATTGTAAACCTGTGGTAAAACATCGATCCTTGGGTTTTAAATATTCAAGTAAACAACACAAATTTCAGCAAACGGTCGCTTTTATCATGTTTGTTTTGCAATGCACGCTGTTTCCAGTGATTTATTTCTGATTAGTTTTCTGATAAAACTTCCATTTGTTGGTGAAATGATGGGTTAGTGTGACGTTGTTCCAGAGAGGTGTGTTTTAGTGAAGCGCTGTGGAGCTTCTGGCCTGACAGTGGAAACGCAGGCCCGGTGCTACTGGCCCGAGGCTATTAGCCCGGCACGGCCCGTTTAAAGCCCTGGCCCACACTGGCCCGACAGTGGAAACACGGCTAATGATCGCATTACATTTACAGGAACTAGTTTCTCAGCGGCGGCGGAATTTTACTTTGCTCCGGTTAGTAGTGCTGCGCCGAAAAGTACCGGTTGCCTAGGTAACTTAATATCACTCCGCCGCGGCTGTAGACTGCGCTAATAAATACAGGGAACAAAGTATAACTATTGCAATGCAATGAAAGGGTAGTTTGATTTCTAACATTATTCTCTCAACAGACATTTACATCGTTAGTCTGGCGTTATAATTGATCTGCTTTTGGTGAACTGTGGAGTGGGTAAAGCTGTTTTTAATGGCAGGCTAGCAGTTACCGTTGACTCGCGCTAGCCTAGCACCGGCGAACTATGCAACTGGAACGACTGGATGAATTTTTTTAAACTGTCTCCACTGATAAATAACACTAAGGCTAACTTGGAAATGAGGCCCGATGTCCAAAATCCTGAACCGCCCCTTTAACATTTTAGGAATGAATGATATAATAAAGCAGAACGCAACACAAGTAATAAAACATGAAACTGACTTAGCATTGTGCTGCATCCAGAACTCGAGCTGGCTGGTGATGTTCTGCTGCTTCCACTCAGTCAAATTGGCCACAAAGACTCCAGGGTTGAACGAGCAAGTGTTTGCTCTCATTCCCAGCTTCTTGATCGCCTCTTTCTTGAAGTCCAGAAAACCAATATAGCTGTTCTGCAGCAGGCAAAACAAATGAGCAAATCCATGTAAATAAATGGAATATGTGTTCTGCAAACCTTTTTTGAATTGGGGCTGGATGAATAATTTTATACCACAATATAGAAAATAAATGGTTTATATATTCAAAAACCATGTCTATATTTGGATAAACAAGTTTCACATTCCTCCGTGTCTCTTTGTCATCCCACTGCTAATCCAGGCAGTTTAGAAGATCATTAGAGAATAATCCTACCTGATTTCCAGCTCCTCTGACCATGCCTTTAGAGGAGGACGAGTCGCAGTCCTCGGAGAACGCTGCTGCGTGTCCAAACTTAAGACTGGTGTCGAAAAGCTCCCGAATGTCCCCTGAACCATAGAAAAGAAGACAATTAGCACTTATTGCTGTATTTGAATCAAAATCACACAGTACCATACCTCTGCAGTATATATATACGATGCATACTTATACAGAAAGTGCGTTTTATATGTGTGAAATATGCAGATGACGTACATGTAATAGGATGTGCAGTATAAAACCAAAGACAACTGTATTCCACAATACAATGAACTTTACCTTTCATTTCCAATGTGACAAATAAATCGGATTTGAATACATTTGAGCATTTTATAAACAAAATAACCATTTTCACACCACATATAAGTTATATATAACAAACTGATATATATATATATGATATAACTGGATGCCACTTTAAATTAAAATCATTTAGAATTAAAAATGTAATATTACAGAGTGGTGCAGGGATGAGGTCAACACCTGGAAGACTAATTCGCCAATGTTTTTTTTTTAAGGGTTTTTATGATGGGGTTTTTCAAAGTAAAATAAGGTCTGTTTTAAACATAAGTTTACTATATTTGGACGTTTTGTTCTACACCATAAATGACACACCCGTATTGAAAACGCAAAGTTTGAAACTGTTATTTTTATATTAAAAAATATTATGTTTCTAATAAGTAACTAGATGAGAATGTTTGGTGTGTGAGTATGGGCGTCGGCACCATGGTATATGTGAGGGACAAGACCCACCCACTTTTTAAGACCAATGATATTGGACCCACTCACCTTTCCTGTCTCTAATTCAGCGCATATGTCTGCTCACTTTTCAGTCACTTGCAGTGATCTAATTGATTACTATTCCCATCTTAATAACGCCGTTGCCGCCAAAAAATGCGTTACTATATTTGATAGGGCTGTGTAACGGATACACCAAACCCACATTTCGGTTTGTATAACGATTTTTGACACAGAATTCGATACAAACCTCGATGCTTTTGGGGGTGTGGTGACGCGGTGTGACACGTTCATGTAACATGTAAGGGTGGCGCTGCCAATAAAGCACCTAAAAGCTGTCACAAAGAACCGGCAAAAGTAATGATTATGAATATGTCAAATATAGCAAGGAGACATTTTAATTGTATATTAATAAACACGTGTTTTTGTGTGTGTCGGCTGCAAAAATGAAGTTGACGATGCTGACTGCGATCTTTGCAGTAGTGATGTACGTCGTAGAACAAAACTTTTCCAGAAGAAGTGCCTTGAATATTCTTTTCTACAAATACAAGTTTGAAACCCAACCAAAGAGCACCTTCTGGGATTACTTAAAGGTCCCTCCAGCAAGCAGCGCTCCAAGATGATTCCATACGCTGATTTCACGCAGCCGCCATTTTGAAATCGAACCCCGGAAGTACAGATATAACAATGCCTTGGACTACCAACCTGAAGCTGCTGCCGCGATTTACACGGATGGATGTTAATATCCAATATAGGATATGTCTATAGGTCGTTGCAATATAGGATATGTCTATAGTTCGTTCCAATATAGGATATGTCTATAGGTCGTTCCAATATAGGATATGTCTATAGTTCGTTCCTGCTTCTTTTTTTACGTTCTGAATTACATATATACAAAAAATAATTTTATTTATAAATGAATTTCACTGTATATAGTCTAAAGTACGAAAGAAATGTATGTACATTTTTAGAATAACTAATTTCTACATTAAACACAACAATACGCCATCGCATTCGCGACTCTCCTATGATTAATCGCGACTCTGCGTGAAATCAGCGTATTGATAGATAAATCCTAATTAAAGTTAAAAAAGTAATTCGGTCAAGAGCAGCGAGTGATTTTCTCTTTGTCTTTTGCTCTTTGTTTAACATTAATGACACAGACAGCAGGTTTATTAAACCGGCTGTCGCTTTAAGACCTAGTCCACGGATTCAATATACTGATATACTTGCTTCTTTCCCCCCAACTGTTTATGATCACTCATAATAAAAAAAAATATATATATATATAAAAAAAAAAAAAAAACTCAATTGACTCTTCGCCAAGCCCCGCCCTCCCTAGTTACTGTTGCTACGCCTGTCAAGCTTTCGCGCCTGGTACGTCACCGCTGTCAGACATTCCCAATGAGATAATTAGTCATTTTTGGCGAACATGTGAAATATCTGAGAGAGCAAGACAAAAGGGACTCCAGTATGCATTCGAGGGATATATCCACCACGACATAATATGCAACCGATCAGAGAATAATTTCTTAAAAAATGAAGCTAAAGCCTATAGTCCCAGTGCAAACAGCAACCGCCTCATACGCTGATCATTCACATGGGAAACACACAAATTGAGGAACAGCTATGTTCGTGCACAGCAGGGTAAGTGAAATGTGAAAATAATCTAATAATTATAAATCAAACAGTTTATCCAGATTTATCCATAAATCTTGTGGAATTATTTCCAACTTCCAAGCAATAGGTGTTATTGTTAATCCTGTCGACATGGTTGTGAACGGGGTCTCCCACACTGCTTGATTCACGCCCATTATCTCTCCCCTTGGCTTTTAGATTTTTCGGGAAGGAAAACAATTCCAAACTTTTAGGATACCGGGTATCAGATTTGCACAATCCATACGCACACAACGCTCCTCGCTATTCGTGCGCTATCTGGCTGGCTTTCGGTGTATGCGCTTCGGGTGTGTGCACTTCCGTCGACTGTCCCATCAGGCAGTTCTTAATGTTGAGCCCTGAACGGTTTAGAATATAACACCACAAATAACTATGTTGTTTTGATAAAGTAAGCTGTATTTGGTGTACCCTAAATCAGTGGTTTGGGGTCCGTTAGAGGCCACAGCAAACTTCCAAGGGAGCCTCAAGATTACTTTACAAGCTTAAAGAAAAAAGAATTTAATACCCCCTTCAAATTTTTTTAAATCTTTAAATTTAATACATTTTAGTTACATATTTTAATCTATGGGCACTCCTAATTTCTGTAAATTTAGCAGAAAAGGAGCCTTCACATTTTGTTGTGGACATAATTACTAATTCAATTTAGCAATCAACTATATTTATATTTATATATATTTATATATATAGAGAGAGAGAGGGGCAATGACGGGCGATATTCTCATTCTAGACTGACGTGATTGGACAGATATTTGGATATGCCTGTGGACAATATGTGAATTCTGGGGTTTAAAAATGATAAAACTATGCACTTCACCTTGTACAATTACATCATCATCTAGGTAAATTGCCTTCTCTGCATCTGGCAAGAAAACTGGCATGTAGAATCTGGCGAAGGTCAACTGAAAAATAAAATACATATACAGTTATGATATATAACTGGCATTCACACTTCTATTCAAACAGAAGCACTGGCACTTGATTACCGGCTTCACTGCCTCCACCTTCTGAGGATCATTAGACATTTTCCCTGCCAGGATCTTCGGATCAAAAATGATAATTTTATGTTTCAAGTCAGTCTTACTCAACCAGGTCCTGGAATGAGAAATAATTATGTGTACCGAATCATCACAGCACAGGTAATGAAACACAATATAGTTTGATACAGGGCTTTTCAATCTTTTTACACCTGAAGATTTGCCGTTTTGGTCAATCAGATCACAAGTGGATGATTAATACAGGTGATTAATACACAAATTGATACATTAATACATAATTTTTTCAGGATTCATTGATGAATAAACAGTTACAATTTTTAACATTTAATTTTGAATTTAACAATACTATTACAACTTTACGTTCCTGTTATCTCTGTAAAGCTGCTGTAAAGCTGCTTTGAAACAATTTGTATTGTAAAAGCGCTATATAAATAAAGGTGACTTGACTTAAAAAGATTTTTTTTAAATTAATATTAAGCAGCATTTCCAACATTGATAATAAACCAGCATATTAAAAAGATTTCCAAACTATCATGTGCCACTAAAGACCACAGTAATGATGCTGAAAATTCAGCTTTGCATCACAGAAATGAATTATATTTTAAAGTATATTAAAATAGAAAACCAGTATTTTAAATCGTAATAATATTTTAAACGTTTTTCTGTATTTTTGATGAGCATTAGAGACTTCTTTCAAAAATATTAAAATAGTAATGTTTCCAAACTTTTGACCGGTACTGTATTATTTTTCTGTAAACGTTTTAATGGACCCCAAAGCACTCCCTTGCGGACCCGTTGGTTTAATAAACCCCTGGTTTAATAATGCGATATAGTGTACCTGAGATGAACCACAGACTCATTCAGAGTCACTATGTTGAACACTACATTAGCTTTGCTGTTGCGGTAGATGCTGTTCATGGCGGTGACAGCAGCTCCCAGTCTCTCCTCTGGAGCGGTGATGAGCACTGGGATCTCATCTCCTGTTCTGATGACCTTATGACCCGACAGGAGGTCCGTCTCAAAGGGCAGGACCATCCCGGGCACGGTGTCTGCAAACACAAAGGAAGATCAGTGAGGTGCTGCATTTCAGGGTGCCAAAAACTGTTCAACTTCACCATCTTCATACCTGGATTCTCTTGCTTCAGGAAATCATTGAGATTTAGCAGATTTCGATGCAAAATGATCAAAAAAGCGATGGCAAGCAGCACAAGAATAACCACATTCACTGGAAAAGAGAGGTTATATGTTAAATGATAAAGTTTGAAGAAAGCAATGCTTAACACCTGGTATATATATATTCGAATATACTTACCTCTGCGTACAGTCATGACACTCGAACAAAAGCACTTGAGTTTGAATTCTGAATGAAAACAAACACTAACATGAGTGAGCAGGAAAGAAAACGACAGGCAGACATATTTAACATCAGGTTGAAGCGGAATATAACACAAGAAGGTTAAAAATTAAATCATACAAGTAAAGAAATCCCTGCATATACAAACGAAATGCATTTTAGCAAAGTCCAAAACTGCTCAATCATAAAGCCTTGAAAACTGCAGGTGTGTGTACTAAACCTTTTATTATATCGTCTGGACTCTCTTCGGCTCTTCATCCAAAACGCCAACTCAACATCAACAAGTCCAGCAGTTACCCTTCAGTCCTGCAGTGAACACGCCAGAGCCGAAAAGAGTAGACCTTTCACTGGTTATATAGTATCAGGATAGACAACAGCCTGAGTCGACTGGTGTTTTGAACGAATCTTTTAAGTGAACGAACGAATCAGTCTCGCACACTTCGATTCACTGACTCCCAGACAGATTGCAGCGAGAGCCAATAGCATTCGAGTGCGGTCTGTAAAGAAGCATTTAATTGGCTTGACCCATTGAACGAACACGCCCCCTTCAGTTCACAGAACGAGTCGGTGATTTGAGTCTGATCAGAGCGCCGGTTTCCTTCGCAAACTTTTGCGAAGGAAAAGAATTGTTCAACAATTCAAAAACATTTGAATTGCCAAACAATTAAAAAACAATCCTTTTTGAATTGTTTGTGTAAATGTGTATGTCTTTAATTTAATGTTATTAATGCTTCGGCAACGTAAATACTTATTTTTTGCCATGGCAATAAAGCCACTTGAAACGGAATCTAAATCACTGAACAAGACATCTTCCATGAAACTGAATGAACTGATATTGTATCGCTTAATACAAAATAAAACATAACAAGACTCGTTTCGGCCATGACTCTGTGCATTTAAAGTAAAGAATGAATTAAAAAGTCACTGACTCGAAAACTTTTGCTTTTTGCCATCTTCTGGTGTAACAACGCAACTTACAGTTTTTTTGACCACTTACAAAATCAAAGAACAATTCAGAATGAAATGAAATGATACAAAGTCATTGAGATGAATCAAAATCCTTACGTTCCCTTATGGATTACAGATCTGATCGTTCCAGCGGCTGATGACGTACTTCAACACGCCCTTGACCATAAATGGTCTGAAATTTGCGTCTGGCATACCGCCTGATTAAAAACATAATTTTTTCTTTTAATTTAGAATTCCACTGAGACAGCGTTTGAAAGCTTATCATCCTATTATTTAAGCCACATCTGCACCGAGAGATCACAAGAGGTATTTTTCTCTGATCTGTGCAGAATGGAAGCATTTTAGCCGGTCGATGTTTTTAAGGGGTCCTCCTGCGGATCTCTACGTACACACTTTCAAACAGGAAACCAAACCATCACTCTCTTCTGAATAAAATTATCTAGCAGCTTTATTTTGTTATTTCAAAATGCTTTCAATGTTTAAATCCATTCCGACACACATGGTAAGCCTTCCTGTGATGGTAAGCATGCACGTGTTTATATTGTGAGTTCAGTGGTGTTGTTTAGAGCAGTTTTAAAACACTGACATATGTTGTTAGCAGCTAACGCATTAGCGACGCTCCTGTGTAAATATTAAATTATATCAAATAAAACGTTGGTTTTGCTGCTGTAATAAGCACAATGACACCAATTAGCTAGTGCTGGTGTTTGAACGAAATGTATAAATCTAGTGTGCACTCAACAGCTTTGCGAGTCAGGTTATTAATTTGTCAGTAATTGTTGATGTAAGTTAACGTTTATGAAAAAAATATTTCTTACTAGACTCACTGTATTGATCCACATATTTATGACGTAATTCGTTAAATGTATTTTGCGGTTGAAATGTGCCCAAGTATTTATTTACACTAATATTTGAAATATGTTATTAGTAGCCTATTTATTGCATAACCTATTCCAAGAGAAAGTGTCTTATGCATTATAATCTACAGTTCTAACGTTTCTAATACAACACATTCCTGATGGCTTGCTTGTGTATAATTCATCACACAAACATGAGTATTCATATATTCACACTGATTATTTGCAGGACTATAAGGGACAGAAACTTGCCGAGCAAATTTTCCAAGGAATCATTCTGGTGTCAGCGGTAAGTAACAACACCTTGTAAAGCCATCTCAACATTGTCATCTCTCCTCTGCCTCACGTCTTTCATCTCGCAGGTGATCGGCTTCATCTATGGATTATTTATTCAGCAGTTTGGGTGGACGGTTTACATAATGTTGGCTGGATTCTCCGTCTCCTGTCTGGTATGTCACAAGACTTCTGTTTGCTTGATGTAAAGTTTTCGTGTGTAATTCTGGCCGTCCTGTTCTTCAGCTCACCCTGCCGCCCTGGCCGATGTACAGAAGAAACCCTCTGAGCTGGCAGCCGGCCGTGCCCGAGACATCCGGAGAAAACCGTGACAAACCTCAGGAGAATCCGAGTCAGAAGAAGAAGAAGCACAAGTGATGTTAGCTGGGATTTGGCACAGCAAAGCCATATAGATATACAGTAGAAACAAACAATCTATATGAAAACCCATCCATTTTTGTCACCGTTTCAACATTCAATATGTGTAATAAAGAACTGTGTTTGGTTTATTTGTGTGGAACTTTTTTCAATGGAGATGCAAAAGAAAACAGCATTCCTGAAAATGTCATTTATTAAAAATCATTTCTTATTGATTTACATTATTCATCAGCATATAAATATACAGTCCAGAAAATAGGAGAACTATTAAACTATGTTCAATGTCTTGCTCTCAAATTCTACATAGCATAGGTTCACATTTCCAATATAAAATAACGCTTTTGTGAAATTTAAAGGTGCATAATAACATAGCTTTATTGCAGATCTAGTGTTAAGCTCAGTTATATCACTATACATTTACAAAAGTAACAGTGATTGTTGATGGGAGGCTTCAGTGAAGTGTTGCTCCAGCCGGTTGTCAGTAATGGTACATCAGTGTTGCGCATCTGATCCGGCTCAATCTTTGAATGCGACGTCCTCAAAGAACTTCAGCTGTCGCACTTTCACTGCGTACCGCTTGTATTTTTCCTCCCCCATTTGCTCATGCAGTAAATGCTGGATAGAAAGAAAGGAATAGAAATATCAGTCTAACTGCTATTTATTATGTCTTCTTAAACTGCTTTCATGTTGTTGTTTTTTTGCCATTTAGCAAACTGTTTTCTATAAATACATCCCCTTTAGTCAAGTCACCTAGGGCTGCACAATTAATCGAATTTGTAATGGCGATTACAATTATGGATGCCACAATTATGTAATCGTTCAAAGCCACAATTACAAAAAGTCCACTTACATTTTTCTGTGTGCTTAAGATGAGTTTTTTCTTTCTTTCTACAGCTTATGTTAAGGGTATTTTCCCCATTGTTTTAATTTTAGTTAGTGTAACATTATAATACCATGAATATTTTTACTTTGGTTTGGTTTCTTACATTTTTTTTTAAATATTTGACATTTGAGGCTTAATGCTATATAAAAGCAATGAAAATTTTTCAGGAGGAGTTTTCAGTTGGTTTATTTTGATATAACAATATGGCATGCAGTCGCTTCAAACAATGGCATAAAGCTGTTCAAAATATCATTAAATGTAAATTTTGATAATCGCAATTACAATTTCAAGGCAATAATCGACAATTATGATTTTTTTTGTCATAATCGTGCAGCCCTAAGTCACCTACAATACAGATTGTTTCGAAGCATCTTTACAGGGATAAACAGGAAAATAAAGGGTAACCAGTACTCTAACATCAATGGGTCTCATGCACTATTTGCATTGATTATTTAGATTTATATGCACAAGAAATTTGTCTAATTTGTGCATTCTCACATCAATTTGTTCTTAACCTCTATTGTTCATGAATTTAGAGTATTCTAAATGATTCCCCAAACCACTTACACATACGCAAACTTCATTTTTAAGGAGAGGAACGTTGAGACTTGAGCTATAATGCACCTTTATAAATAGGATTAAATATATTTAAGATGTATAAAATGTAATCTTAAAGTAACACCAGGGAACTTTTGCTCTCGGGGTGGGGTCCCCCTACAGTTGGGCAGACATGGGGACTTGTGACTTGGTGACTTGGACTCGAGTCGACTCGAGTCGCTATTTTTATGACTTGTGACTTGACTTGACATAAAATGAAATACTTGAGACTTGACTCGGACTTGGAAGTTAAAGACTCGGGACTTGACTTGACTTGAGACACGATGACTTGAATGACTTGAGTGTTAATCACATCATGTTTTCAGTTTGAATATAAAATATATAAATTATTTAAAAAACAAACAAGTTGATCCAGCTGGAGCGCAGGCTGAGAATAGCGTTGTCATGACTGGATCACGACACTATCATCAGTCATGCGTACCTTACGCACACCACGCCCACTTAGATCTTACATCAAAATGTCGGCCGGAGGGGTACCGAGGGTCATCGCTTTCGGCTTCAAGAATTATTCACAAGATGGCAAAAGACGAACAGCGCTTTGCAAGACATGCAACATTAACATTGCGGGCAGCCAGACGACAACCTCATATTTCGTCCGTCATTTGAAGAGCCATTCTGCCCAGTAAGTGCTTGTCAATTTGTTAATGTTATCTGGTTAGTTGGTAGTTAGCTAATGTAATAATAGCTAAAGTAGCCATAACCCTTTCACAAGTAAGTTTAAACTATTCTAACTGATCCCCCAGCGTGAGGTTTTCTAGGCGACCGTTATTTAGAACCTGTCACTCACTTTAATGTTTCCATGGTGACGCGTCATTGCTTGTCACGTGACACAGCGCAACCATAACACAGCGCTGAATGAATGATCATTGATGATCTGCTTTTATGTCATTTTTCCTGTTTTATTCAAAATGTTCACAAATGTATTAGCTATAACATGAAACACTGATATTCCGATTGTCAAATATGTGGAAGTGGATGTGTTTTGTTGTTTAAATGCCTGTATATCATCGCATAGTTGAGCTGTATGTGCGAATGGGTGGCGCCATGTTAGTTTACAACACGTCAATTTCTCAACTTCTCACAAAATACATGAAAGTAAGTGACCGGTGAACTGGGAGAAGAATAGTGTAAAATGTAAATCTATTTACACAATGTGTATCGGATATGAATAAAACGTGTCGTCTTATTATAATGGAAAGGATTATTACTGACGCTTCCATAGACATCAGTGTGTACATTTTTTTTGCTAGTAGGCCTACTTATGTGTATTTAAATGTCTGAAACCTAAAATAAAAATTATGTGGTTGAAAACACTGATTAGTTGTTATGTATGACAGCACTGAGAGCGTATGTCTCTGGCTCAGTGCCAGCCAACGCACGTTTGAATTCATTGATATATACACGAAGCAGAATAGTGGGTCATATGTCTAATGGTTTTTGAAAACTTAAGGCTTTCTTCTTCATAAAAGTAGTCGGACATCATCACATTTTTGTATACATTTTTATTTCTTTAAATTAGTAAGCTACAGGACACTGACTTTCAAAACATGACCTGCGCGAAAGAGAAAAGTGAATGAATGTGTCATTATACCTAAATGCACTTCCGAATGCGCCTCTGTTCATTTCAAACCAAACTGGTTTGAAAAGATCAAATTCTGCAGGTAAGATAAAAATTCTGCAGGTAAATTTACAATAATAAGGTGACTTGACTTGACCTACTACAGGACTTGACTTGAATTGACTTGACATAGCCTGTGACTTGACTTGACTTGACTTGCCCAGGAAAAAAATACTTGGGACTTACTTGAGACTTGAAGGTTAAGACTTGAGACTTACTTGAGACTTGCACATGTGTGACTTGGTCCCATCTCTGCAGTTGGGAAACAGTATTGTCCTCTAGACCTCTACTACTGTCTAAACTCTGTCATCCTACATGCACGTGCATTTGTTGACAACCAATAATGTTGATCCTCGTTCTGCCTTTAACGCGATCACTTTCTCTTTTTCTCTTTTTGCTTTGCTCCGATAAAACCTTTGCTTTCTTGTTTTTCTGTGCTGCTTCGGCCATGACTATAACATTTGGCTCGCATGTCCGATTTTAAGGAAGTGGGGGTGGTGGTGGAAGTGACGTATATGCCGTAAAGCAGTCGAATTTTGTAGTTCTCTTTGTTCGCCGGTTACTACCCGAAACCTGAAGTTTAAAAGTACGATTAAAAACGCTACAGACCCCGTCAGACTATGGCAGACGTGTCATTCAACCTATTGTAAGTCGATGTACCATCACAAGAGACTTGGAAATATATTATGAAGGTTGAAAAGTAACCGAGTGCTGCTTTAAGGCCCCCCAGAGTATGTAATTTGTGTGTACGTGTGGTGTACTGTACTGCACTGTATCAAAAATGTTGAATACATTATACACAACAACAGTTAATGATGAATCATGATTTGTTTGTAAACATCATTTTCAATGGCGTATTGATTCTGATGTCTTTCTAAAGTACAGTGAGTCAAAGGTCTGCTCAAGCTCAAGGACTTTAGCAAAGAGTATAGAAGAACAAGAGGCGAAACTCCGATGCTTTTTTGGTAACAGCCACTAGGTGGCGCTTCGGTAGCGCGGCATGAGCGCGGCCGCCATTTTGGGGTGAAGATACTGGACAAACTCACTGTTGCGCACCCAAAATCAGAGAATCTCCCAGCCAAATCAGAAGGGCAATAGAAAATTTCTTAAATTAAGCCATCAGTAAATTTTGTTCACTTGGTACACCTACAGTAAATGCTGTATTGTCTTGTATATGTATTTTTTTTTTAATCAGTTGTGGAATCCAATCATTAAATACACATTATTTGAGGTAATTTTTTCTTGCTATTTTGAGTATCTCCATTTTATACAACTTTACATATTTACTACTATTATTAGTTACCAACTCCACTAGGCCTGAAATATATTTTGTACGTTTAATCCGCTGGATCATGCTACAAACATGATGATCTTACAGAACATGATGCATTGCTGTGTCTGTTATCCTATAATTGCCACTTTTGGACAGTGGCTGTGTTTTTTTGTTTACATAGTCTTGCTTTAACGCTCATAAATATAAGATAGTACTGCAAAAAAACAGTCTATTGCTGTTATATGTCCAACATTCCCAATTATCTGATATAGCATGTCCTTTACTTAATTGTATATGTTGGTATTAATTCAGTGTTTGTAATGCTAATACTAAAGGTTTTGTGGGGAAAAGTAGAAGACTTGTCTAAGTCTGTGAAATAAACTGTTAAAAGGGATTTAATGATCACTAGTGATTGTACGTGGATTTGATCTTTAATGTACTTTTTTTTTACCAAGCAGCTGATATTGCCATAGCGACAGCAAGAAGCTAGTGGATAGTGATGGGAAGTCCGGCTCTTTTCAAAGAATCGGCGAACTCGTTTGCGAACGACACATCACTAGTGGACTGCCGAGTCGCTTTCACCCCAAGATGGCGGACACGTAGCGCTGGTGTTGCAATGGAACGTTCTATTGGCTTTCATTTCTTGTCAATATACGTTCTCTGACTTTAGCTAACTTACCTCTCTCTTAACTTCCTCCTCTTCCTGCATGATGTCCAGGACTCTGTCCAACAGCTTCACACCGAGTGCTTTAACCACATCTGTTCGCAAGTGCTCAATCACTCTCCTGACCTTTGCTGGACCCGTGCTGTCATCTACGTACAGAAAATTAGGAATATAACGATGGATTCTGTCGCCAGACTAGTGTACTGTACTAAAAAATGAAGAATTACTCAATTCACATTTGTTCAAAAATATTTAACATTTGCAATTTTCTGTTTTAAAGGAATTTGAAGATGTGTTGATGTTACTGAAAACAAAAATACGAGTAAGGCGAGTTACCTAACGAGAAGCCACTGATTTGGAAATCCCCCTGTCCCTCTCTGGATTTCCCATGAAGCATCAGGGTGTCCCTGTACTTCCTGTTTAGTTTGAACTCAGGTAGTGATACATCTCTGGCATCCATGTGTAACGTCTGAGTCATCATTTGAACCAAGTCTTGCATCTCACTGGTCTCACACTTTCTGTATAAAAACATAATTAATAAAAATTGGCCTTTAGTCACTGTTATAGGCAGTAAACAATGCGAAGAACACATATATGTTTACATGACGCATACATAACCAGAATTTTGAAACATAAATCTAGCCAGTTATGTCTTATTAGAGTGCAAATTAGTGTGAGGTCTTACCGTTCTCTGTAGTCCCCCTCTGAGCGTTCAGTGGAGCTGGTGGAGGAACTACACTCGTCTTCATCAGACTGAGACACAAAGACAAACAAAACAGTTCAGGTCAGATCCCTTTTGACCAACTAGCTGAGGTCTTGGATTCTAAGGTGATGATACATAACATTGAGATGATGTCATAGAGCAGTGGGATACGTAAGGTGACAGAGGGGTACGTGTTGTGAAGAAACCATTAAAACTGAGCATGTATTTATAGATTTATAACAGCCAAAATGCTGTAACAGGTCGAATACATGCCATCCAATCAAATTACCTCATGTTTTGCGGTCAAACGGACTGCATCCACACAAGCAGCGAGCATATGCTTCCGTACGGCTGCGTGCAGCGACTGAGGCCGTAGCAAATTACACTACATTACTGCTGTTCTCGACCATGTACCAGTTTGTGAAAGTGGGGATTTAGCACTTTTAGCACAGAGCAAATTATAGACACAGGCTGTGCATGGAGATCGATTAAAGGCACAATATGTAGTTTTTTTTCGCCACAAGAGGGCGCAGTTTCCAACAATAACACAGGCGTAGGTTGATGACGCAGTGATGAGCTGAATGATGGGACTTGCTGATGGATCTAATAATGTTTATGGATGAGTGCAAACATTCATGTTTTTTAACATTACAGTGGTATGAAGCAGGTCGCGATTGCTAAAGAGACAGATATCACACGCGACTCCCGCGGATATAAAGGAATAAGGACATTTAATTCTACCGAACTACCCGCGAGTGCTGGATTACTCACACAGGTCAGTTTATTAGACGAATTAAACTTGTGAGGTAACGCAGCGCTGCTTCACTTGGTCTAACGTTATACTTTCACACTAAACGGCATTTTAATGTGTGTTGAAAGTTATAATGTTATACTACGTGTTAGTTCGTTTGCTATACGAAACTAGCAGTAAGCTAGATCAACATTAGAATGACATCCTGACCATATTCTAACATTTCATCATGTTGAGCTAACGTTATATAACATTGATTTGTTTTATGTACATTTGCTCACCTGTCTAATAAAGCTGTCGTGACTCGTGAAGCTCTGTCGAGTCCGAGTTAGTCGCGGACGCTAGCTCTCGGCATCTCAAAAACGCCACGCTGATATTGATCCTCATTTTAGTTCTCCTTGTTTGTCCCAAAGTCTGCTCGCCATGGTCTATGTTTGAAAGAAACAAGAACTGCGCGGCGCTAAACGCTACGCACTACGCAGTTGTCCACGTCTGTCGCCATGGTTACGTCATGGATATGGCAGTATGAGCGGGAACCGAGGATAGCGCGGATATTGCGTAATTTTTTCCGGGACGGCCACTTATTTAAAATTGGAATTTCTCTGAAAATAAAAAATCTTTGGAGACTTTTGGGATATTGTAAGTACACAACTGCAGGAAATATATCACACTGTGCAAGTGATTTTTGGATATTTTATTACAAAATTCTTACATATTGTACCTTTAAGACTCAAACTCTCTTCAATACAAAAACATACTTCTTGTTTTTAATGTTTATAATCTATTATACGAGAAAGAATGCAATTTTTCCCAAATTCCCACACGACTGCAAATGTGACTGATTTTTTACAAAAAGTTAAACAAACAAAAGTGTAATATTAAAACAGGATTGTTTGCACTATTTTGCCAAAAAATAATAGTTTCAACGAAAGCCACAGCAGAACTGAAACACACAGCGCTTTTTCATGAACGAATCGGGAGTCAATGATTCAATGATTCGTTCATAAATACAGCCACTTGATTCTTCACTGAATGACTCGACTCACTCATTAAGACCTACTGGTGGTTGTAGTTTAATATTTAAAAGTATCACTTCATTTTTACCATCACTGCATATTTCTCTATTGGCCCTCAATGGAAAAGGTGGTTTGACACGGAAATGTTTGGGAACCAGAACCGCTCAGAGTATATTTATTTAAAGTCAACATGAAACGGGTTTGATAACATGGGGAATTTAAAGGGATAGTTCACCACAAAATGAAACTTTAGTCATCATTTACTCACCCTCATGTTGTTCCAAACCTATATGAATTTCTTATATAGAAGATCTGACATAATAATATATAAGATCATATGAAGAATTTTGGGAACCATTGAATGGATTTTTTTTTATTAATACCCCACAGAAGAAAGGATTTTGATTTTTGGGTGAACTATGCCTTTAAGCAAGGACTCTGCTTCTGTCTAAATGGTCTTATACCGCAAGTATGAAGGAAGTGTATGGTGTTTGAAAGACCGTTTTGAGTCGAGGAGGAAAAATTAGACTTACCTTTTTTGTTTCCCAGGTTGTGCTGGCAGGTCTCGGGCAGTGTAGCTGGTCTGTCTGCTTGCGGTCTAATGAGGGGACATCACAAGCTGCCCTTTTGACAGCGGACACTGCTTCAAAGAAAAGAAACTAAGGAATCATATTCATTGAAAGTGTTCTAAATCTCCTTTTATCTGCATTCATGTATGCAGCACCTGTGGGCTTTGATCATAGTGGGCGGCTCTACAGCCCCTCATGCATGCTAATGGACACGCGCAGAAACGTCTCGCTTTGATCCGCCAATAATGCCCTTAAAGGGGTGGTTCAGGATTTTGGACAACGGGCCTCATTTCCAAGTTAGCTTTGGTGTTATTTATCAGTGGAGACAGTTTTAAAACAGTTCTAAAAATTTTCATCCAGTCGTTCCAGTTGCATAGTTCGCCGGTGCTAGGCTAGCGCGAGTCAACGGTATTAAAAATTAATACGCCATTAAAAACAGTTTTATCCACTCCACAGTTCACCAAATGCAAATTCATTATAACACCAGACTATCGATGTAAATGTCTGTTGAGAGAATAATGTTAGAAATCAAACTACTCTTGCATCTCAATGATCGCAATACATTTACAGGAACTAGTTTCTCAGCGGCGGCAGAATTTTACTTTGCTCCGGTTAGTAGCACTGCGCCGAAAAGTAAACACAGAACCGAAGCGCACTACAGTCGGGACTACCTCTCTCTCCCCTCTCTCTCTCTCTCTCTCTCTCTCTCTCTCTCTCCTCTCTCTTCTCTCTCTCTTTCTCTCTTTCTCTCTCTTCTCTCTCTCTCCTCTCTCCTCTCTCTCTCTCATCTCTCTCTCTCTCTCTCTCTCTCTCTCTCTTCTCTCTCTCTCTCTCTCTCTCTCTCTCTCTTCTCTCTCTCTCTCTCTCTCTCTCTCTCTCTCTCTCTCTCTCTCTCTCTCTCTCTCTCTCTCTCTCAATTCAATTCAAATAGCTTTATTGGCATGGTGAAAGAAATCTTTACATTGCCAAAGCACCCATAACACTATACAATACAAACAAATAAATAAATAATTATAAATAAAAATTAAAATAAATTAATAATAATAATAATAAAAATCTTCAAACTTCTAGTATTTATCTCAGTGTCTCTAGGCATACAGTTGGTAGCTCTGTCCTGCCGGAGGCTCTCTCTTCGTGACAGGACCTCACATATCTGGCAGCCAGGTTTGAGCTCGCTGGGCTTTCTCCTAGCAGGAGTGGGAGTTTGTCCATATTCGATTTTTGGGGGAAGTCCTTCTGGTAGGTTGTGAAAAGGGGATAGAAAGTGTCCCTAATGTTTTTATATTTGGGGCAGGATGTCAAGAAGTGCAGTTCTGTTTCCACCTGATTCTCTGTGCAGTGAGGGCACAGTCGCTCTTCCCTCGGCAGCCAGGTCTGCCTGTGTGTGTGTGTGTGTGTGTGTGTGTGTGTGTGTGTGTGTGTGTGTGTGTGTGTGTGTGTGTGTGTGTGTGTGTGTGTGTGTGTGTGTGTGCAGTGAGGGCACAGTCGCTCTTCCTTCGGCAGCCAGGTCTGCCTGTGTCGGCCTGTCTCGATGCTCAGACTGTGTTCACTGAGTCTGTACATGCTCAGGACTTTCCTCAGTTTAGGGTCGCTCACTGTACTCAGGTATCCTGCCAATTCATATGTTCTGTTTAGGGCCAAATAGCATTCCAATTTACTCTGTTTGGCTGTCGCGTCTGTCCAATGTTTGACGTATTTTTCTTTTTGTGTTTTAATAATTTGGTTTGGTCTGGCTATGTTTTTATTGTCAGTTTGTGACGTCAGCTCTGAGACCAATCGGCCGAGGGCGTTCCTCTCTGGCTTCAGCTCTTGGTAGGACAGGGCTTTGTGATGGAGGGTCTGTTCATCGCTATTTTTTAAGTGGGCATGGAATTTAATGGCTCTTTTTTGAATAGTTATTAAAAGGGGGTATAAACCTAATTCTGCTCTACAGGCATTATTTGGGGTTTTGCGCTGAACTCGTAGCAGGATTTTGCACAGCTCGGTCTGCAGAGTCTCCATCGGGTGTTTGTCCCATCTAGTGAACTCTTGGTCTGAGAGTGGACCCCAGACTTCACACCCGTACAGCGCGATGGGCTCTATTACTGTTTTGATTATTTTTAGCCAGATTCTAATTGGGATGTCAATTAGGATATTTCTCTTAATAGCATAAAAAGCTCTCCGTGCCTTGTCTCTCAAGTCGTTTACAGCTTTTTTTAAATTTCCTGTGTTGCTGATATTTATGCCAAGGTAAGTGTAGTCCTGCGTGTGTTCGAGGAGCATGTTGTTCAATTTAAAACTATGATCTTGGTCTTTGCGGCTGGGTCTTTTTTGGAAAATCATTATTTTTGTCTTTTTGGGGTTAACTGACAGGCCCCATGACTGACAGAAGCTGTGCAGGAGGTCTAGATGCTGCTGTAGACCCTCTTTAGTGGGAGACAGCAGCACCAGATCATCAGCGAACAGAAGGCATCTGACCTCAGTGTCCAGTAGAGTAAGGCCAGGTGCTGCAGACTGATCCAGAGCCCTCGCTAGCTCATTTATGTAGATGTTGAAGAGCGTGGGACTTAAGCTGCAGCCCTGTCTCACTCCACGACTCTGAGGGAGGAATTCTGTGTGCTTGTTACCAATTTTAACTGCAAATTTGTTGTTTGTGTACATAGATTTGATGATGTCATATGCTTTTCCTCCAATGCCGCACTGGATTAATTGAAGAAAAAGACCTTCATGCCAAATGGAGTCAAATGCTTTTTTGAAGTCAACAAAGCATGAGAAAATTTTACTTTTGTTTTGGTTGATTTGCTTATCGACTAAGGTATGGAGAGTGTATATGTGGTCTGATGTGCGATATTTTGGTTGGAAGCCAATTTGACACTTGTTTAGAACATTTCTGTCTCTGAGAAAATGGGCTAGTCTGCCGTTTAGGATGTTGCAGAAAAGTTTGCCTAGGTTGCTGTTTACACATATACCACGGTAGTTATTAGGGTCAAATCTGTCTCCGTTTTTATGGATTGGGGTAATAAGACCTTTGTTCCAAATGCTGGGGAATATACCTAAACTCAGGATGATATTGAAGAGCTTTAGAATGGCTAATTTGAATTTGTGGTCTGTGTATTTAATCATTTCATTTAGGATGCCATCGATACCACAGGCTTTTTGCAATTTCAGGGTTTGTATTTTGTCTAATAGTTCGGTTAGTGTTATTGGTTCTGATAGTCTTTGATGGTTGATTCTAAAACCCTTAGTTTGTCATATAGGGCATTTTGTTCCTGATTTCTGTTTATATCACTAAAGAGGTTGGAGAAGTGGTTTACCCAAACATCTCCATTCTGGATAGCTAGTTCTGGATGGTAGGGTTTGTTTAGTGTGTTCCAATGTTTCCAGAACTGGTCGGATTCTAAGGATTCTTCAATTTCCCTGAGTTGACTTTTTGTGTTTTGTTCTTTTTTCTTTCTTAAAGTATTCCTATATTGTTTCAGTTTTTCGTGATAGAGATGACGGATGTTCTCATTGTCAGCATCTCTGTGTTTCTGGTTGGATAGGATTCTTAATTCTTTCCTAAGTTTTTTGCAGTCATTGTCAAACCATTTCTCAGTGGCACTGGCATGTGGTCTTTTTGGTTTTCTTTTTGTGATTTTTAAGTTGGATAATGTTGCTGATACCTCAAATATTCTGTTCAGCTTGTCTACTGCTAGGTTTGTACCTTCACTATTGTGCAGGAAAGGAGTGGCAAGGAATTGATCTAATGGGGCTTGAATTTTCGGTTGACTAATTGTACTTAGATATGTATCTTTACTGTTTTCTTTCCATCTATACATGTAACTCAGTCTGTTGTAAGAACTGTGTTTCCAGTGTCTCCAGCTGAGCCCTTAACCCCTCTCTCTCCTGCTGGAGTCCCTTCACCTCAGTCTGCAGTGTACACAGCTCTCTCCTGAGGCTGTCCCTATCTCTGTGCTTGGCTGTGGGGCTGTTGCTGGTCTGGTCTGTTGTCTGAACTGTTTGCAGGGAGAAGATCATCTCCTTGAGCTGGACCATTTCTCCCTCTAGCTCTGTGAATCTCTCCCTCATGTCAGTGCAATAGCAGTGTGGATGGGGGTCTTTGGTCTGTTCTGTGCTCGAAGGGTCTCTGTGTTCTGTCTGATCCTCGTCTGTGTGGAAGGTGTGGAAGACTGACTCCTCAGGAGGGATAAGTTGGTCGCTGGTAGTGGTCTCTTTCTGTGCTCTGTCTTTGATGCTGAGGAAGTCTTGTTCGAAGAGCCCATTGATGCTTTTTACCACCACTATACCCGTTGTTTTGTAGATATTTACGTTGGTGGTTGTTGTGTCTTCCTCATTTTTTATTTTTGGCTGGAAACCCCCGCAGATGCCTTTTCTTTCAGCTGAGGGGTAGTGTGCAATGATGGCCTTGTGCCATCCATAGGGCTTGTTGGTATGGAATATTAGGTTACTTATGCTGCCATCTTTATGTAGGTCTGCAAAAAGTGTTTCTGGGTTGTCTGTCAGTCTTTTGTTTTTGTAGACTTTCCGTGCCGATTCATTTGTGACATCTTTAGGATAGTGCAGTGGGATGGCCTCCACATACGGGGGTTGTTTAGGCCTGGTGCTGTGGCTGGAGTGTTCAGAACTCTTCTGGGGGCGGGGCCAGGATGATGCACTGGCCATAGTTGATTTAGAATGTAAACATCCAACTGAAAATAACTGCCAGTTTTATGTTTATTTTCTCCCAGTGATGATATAAAGGGATAAAATTAATAAAAAAAGCCAAAAAAGCAGGCAAAAAATATAACTTTCACTGATTTTGTGAGGAAAAATATATATATATATATTTCTTTAAAGTTCAAGTTTCAGTTTTGTCCAAAATGTCTCTTTGTGCTGTGCTGAGCAAAAACTCAGAGAGATGTGAAATTGCACTTTCTGTTCAAGATGTCTTTACCTCTCTTCTTTCTTGAAAGTTTCCTTCTTAGATGTTATGTTGATTATGTTGCTTGATGTCATCCTTTTCATTATAAATATCCTCTTCTGTAGAGGGTAGAGGGTAATCCTGTGCTGATCTTCTCTTGAACTTTCCTCAGATTCAGGTGTAAAAAATTAAATAAAAAATAAAAATAAATAAAAACTGTCCCAATTCAACAAAAACTTCGTCTAGATGTTGTTTTATGTTAAATCTTCTACTTTTCTCTTATTTTGTTGTAAAATAATTCCTATTTTTTATCATTTATCTGGAGCTCAACTCAAGTGTGACCATCTCTCATGGAACTCTCTCTCTCTCTCTCTCTCTCTCCCCCTACCTCTCTCTCTCTCCCCCTACCTCTCTCTACCTCCCTCTCTCTCGCTCTACTTCTCTCTCTCACCTAGGCAACTACATATCACTCCGCCGCTGCTGTAGACTGTGCTAATAAATACAGGGAACAAAGTATAACTATTGCAATGCGATGAATGGGTAGTTTGATTTCTACCATTATTCTCTCAACAGACATTTACATCGATAGTCTGGTGTTATAATTTATCTGCTTTTGGTGAACTGTGGAGTGGGTAAAACTGTTTTTAATGGCAGGCTAGCAGTTACCGTTGACTCGCGACTGGAACGACTGGATGAAAACTGTCTCCACTGATAAATAACACTAAGGCTAACTTGGAAATGAGGCCCGATGTCCAAAATCCTGAACCGCCCCTTTAAGGGCATTATCAGGTTTGGAACAACTTGATAATTTTCATTTTTGGGTGAACTAGCCCTTTAAGTGTACTAAAAAGGGAACAGTTTGAAAAAGAATCTAGCATACATATTGATTGTATTTATATACAAAAGAATATTGCGGCAGTAGTCAGAATATGGTCATATATTTAGAAAAAGAAATGTGCGTGTCTATGTCTATATTCCAATAGCTGTGCAGCGTTATTTTAGTATTATTTACATATTAATAGTGTTTATTTTAATGTGTCCTTGTTACACACGTTACATGTATTTACTATAGTAATAACTATAAATCAGGCATAATAATTACATGCAATTAACCCTCCTGATCCTACCCTAATCCTATAGTAAGTACATGTAGTTAATTATTATTACTCAGTACTTAAATCTGTAATTACACTGTAACAGGGACACATTAAAATAAAGTGTAACCAAAGTTTTTATTAATAATTTGAATAAGCTTTTATTTTTATATTTTCATTGTTTTTAGTAATTTTGTTATGTGCTTTGTCATTTTATTATTTTATATATTACTTTAGGTTTAATTTATTTTTATTTCAGTCTTAGCTTTAGTTTTAGTTTGTATTTATTTCCAGTCAGTAATTTAGTGCTTCAACATCTAACATTTATTAATCTTTATTTAACAAAACTGTTTTTAATAGCATTAGTGTTAGTTCACGATAATAACCCTGAAGCATTTAAAGCCTTAAACAGAATATCGTCGGAAAATGGAGTGCATGTGAACAAGATCCCGACACAAAAAGTGTATTCAGATCTTGTTTTGGTCTATTTTTGCAGTAATTTTTGCAGTAATCTTTCCATTCACATTGTTATTGTTTTTGAAACATTTTCACGACATTCAAAGAAATTCACAAACCTTGTTGTCTGGAGTTCTCCTGTAATTGCTTCAGTCTTCTCCTTTCTCTCGCAGACAGTGGACGATTCTGTAAGTACAGTGATTTTTATTAACAACAAACTCACAGATGAAACACAAAGCTTCAAACAAATGGTTTAAAGTAAGTCCCCATGAATTCAAAATTGACCATACTTACTTTGTTTGCCTAAATTGATCGTTTTGTGGTGAACAATTCATCCATGCAAGTCAATCCACACACACAAAAAAATTTTTGGCTTCGTAATCTTTAATCAAAATCTGAAATTTCCCCTCCCTCTGCATTGGAGGACCTTCCCTGATGATGACGTAGGTTTGACGGTTTGGGCGTCTGCTTAACATCCGTAATCACACCCCTCCAACTGACAGTAGACCATAGACAGTATAAGAAGTGGACAGAGCATCTCATTGGAACTCAGTTGAGACAGTTGAAGCCCATTTCTAGCGATTTTTGAGCACTTCCGTTCCTGACGCGCAGACTCAAACCGACTCAAACTAAGCTTGATGACGTGAGCAACCTGTCTGACAGACGTGACTCTTCTAGTAGCTGTGCGTGAAAATTGCCAACGTTAATCTTGCAGAGACGGGGAACTTGAGCAAAGAGTTCTTTGGCGTGAGTGAGCAGGAGTAAGTTTTCCGTTGCTTTTATGGACTCATTATCTATGGGCTTCTCTCTTGACGGGACGTCCCCCCGATCGCCTGCGAGCTTCTCCTCCTGTCTGTACGGTCATTTCTGTACAGCGCGACAGAGTCGAGTGGTTATGACGCAATCGTTAGCCTATTTTTACTAAAACTGTTTCTACGGGGCCATAGTGTAACATAGAAGGTAATGGAGCACTTTATACATTGTCGTGTTTCTTTAGAAATAAATAATGGACAAATGGAGTCTTTAAACGCCTCAGATGTAAAGTTATTCGCTGTCAAAGTGACGCCAAAATGAATGGGAGTCAATGGAAATGCTAACGCAAGTGAAGTTCTGCTACAAGATGGCGATACCCGGCAGGCTTTAACTTCCGGTCGATGGATTACCCCCTTGCAGTAGACAGGCTGAATGAAAACACCTACTTTTCTAGATCCAATCAGGTGCTAAGTGGGGGGAAAAGCCACGCCCACTATTTTTCCTCATTTAGTATTCCGTTTCTCTCGGAAATACGTCACAACACTGGAGAAAAGTCGTTTGCAACTTCCGGTTCACGGGGACTTTAAGGGTGCTTTCACACCTGCCTCATTTAGTTCGTTTTCCCCCTTGGTGTGGTTTGTTTGGGCAGGTGTGAAACAGCAATCACACTCGGGTGCGCACCAAAAGCGGCCCAAACAAGCGTACCGAGACATCCTCGAAGAGTTGGTCTCGGTACGCTTTCAAACGAACTCTGGAGCGGTTCGTTTGTGGTGAGAACGTGATCCGACCTCGAACAGACCCAACTGCCAAAGAACTGCGCATTTTTGGACTAACCCAGCTGCCGTAGTCAAACAAAACTATTATTTAGATTGTCAATAGCGCTCCCTTTAAGCCATGACTTACGTTCTGCACTCTCACTAAAACCCTCCTCATGAACACTGAAGACGTCCGCACTGCACAGTGAATCTCTCATTTATATCGCATCTAGACTTTGTTGTTTATGAGGGGATTTGCGAAAGGATAAAGCTTGTGCTGATTCTGAACATTGTGAGCGAATTCTCCGCATGTCTGCCGGATTTTGCTCCTCTTTGTTCACTTCCAGGAGTTCTGTTGGAGTGATGTGGATGTTGTCATGTGACTGCATTTTGGTTCGTTTCATCAACTGATTCTTCCCAGAGAAATCAGTGTGGTGTGAAAATGAACCAAAACGCCTGAAAATGATACAAAGTATAATTTTTCGCCCTTGATCCGGACCAAATGAACCGAACTACAGATGTGAAAGCACCCTAAAAAGAAACCTGATGCCATGGGAAATATCAGATTACTGCACATGCGTTATCTTCTTTATATGGATATCCTGTATAAAGCAGTTTAACACAGTCCCCAATGCTGCACCTGCTGTTCTGGAGTGTCTTTGGATGAGAGATCGGTAGGTCTGTTCTTCTCGGGGTTACTCTGGGCTTCCTGTGCACGGTTTATTGATAGGATATCTTCAGGAAGAGGCGGCAGAGGTCTGGGCATGGCTTTGACCTGAACATACAAAGGTTTTAGTGAGTAAGATCAGCGACACACAATATAAAGAGAATGTGAATTCATTCTGGTTTGTAGTAATTCTTTGATAAAAAGATGTCAAATAATCATTAAGTTATAAAATACAAGATTTCCAATGCTCAAGCTACTCACTTGATGAGTGTTGTGTTCACGCAGAGACGTGTCCTTCTTCCTCTGCCGGCGCTGACGTGACAGGGATGGTTCGGAGGAAGAGGAAGGAGGAGGAAGAACGGCTCTGCTTTCATCTGAGAGCGATGTGGACTCGGGATTGCATGGCTCCTAAATGTTATTACAAGTAATGTTTAAATATTATTTAAAGGATTATATTAATATTTATAATAAAAAATATAAAGAAGAAATATTTTTGTAATATAGAGCAGCAACAACAATTAATAAATGATTTGCACAAAAAGTCATTGTATTTCAATCACCAATCTGAAAAACAAAAGCAATAATAACACAGGTTTTAAAGTAAATATTTGTACTATTAATAAGGTAACACTTTACAATAAGGTTCATTAGTTAACATTAGTAAATGTATTACCTAACATGAACTAACAATGAGGAATACATTTGTTACAGTATTTATTCATCTTTGTTAATGTTAGTTAATAAAAATCCAGCTGTTTATTCATGTTTGTTCACAGCGCATTAACTAATGTTAACAAACACAACCTTTGGTTTTAATAACGTGTTGGTAAATGTTGAATATAATATTAACTAAGATTAATAAATGCTGAAGAAGTATTGTTCATTGTTAGTTCATGTTAACTAAGGTTAAATAATGAACCTAATTGTAAAGTGTTACCATTAATAATAATATAAACAATTAAGTAAATAAATATTTGTATAATATTTATATAACTATATACATTTATGTCAAGTATACATTTTACAATATAAAACAATATACAGTACATTTTCATAAATATCTTTAAATAAAATTATTTAAAATGAGAAAGAAAGAAAGAAAGAAAGAAAGAAAGAAAGAAAGAAAGAAAGAAAGAAAGAAAGAAAGAAAGAAAGAAAGAAAGAAAGAAAGAAAGAAAGGGAACAGTGTTTTACCATTAAAATGACAGGAACAGGCTTGAGTAGTTTCTCTGTGGAGTCTAAACTTCCCTGCAATGTGAAGGAAACAAAAATACATTGTCTTTAGAATGAATTAATGAATGAATGAATCAATCAATCAATCGATCAAATAAATTAAAGGGATAGTTCCTGAAAACTGAAAGTTCTGTGATCTTCTACTCACCCTGATGTTGGTCCAAACCTGTACGACTTTCTTTCTTGTGTGGAACACAAAATATGACATTTCAAAGAACATGATTGGTAACCAAACAGTTTTAGTATGGACAAAAACAGACATTTTTTCTATATATCTCCTTTCATGTTCCACACAAGAAAGAAAGAAAGAAAGAAAGTCATACAGGTTTGGAATGACATGAGAGTGAGTGAATAATGACAGAATTAAAGGGATAGTTCACCCAAACATGTAAACTCTGTCAGTAGTTACTCTCCCTCATGATGTTCAACCCCGTAAGACTTTCGTTCATCTTCAGAACACAAATGAAGATATTTGATTAAATCTGAGAGCTGGATCACTCCTCCATAGGCTTCTTAAGGGATCGAAACTGGCCGGCCCAAAAGTTATGAAAGACATCGTTAAAATAGTCCGAGTGACGACAGCGGCTCAACCTTAAGTTTATCAAGCGACGAGAATACTTTTTGTGCGCAAAAAACAAACAAAAATAACGACTTTATTCAACTCTTCATTTCCTTCTCTGTGGGCCGTGAGATTTCACGTAGTGTAACAGCGCAGCGCTTCTGTGTTGTACGTCACACACACACACACATGACCAGCGTCGGCCAATAGTGAGCCTGTGTGTGACGTACAACACAGAAGCTTTCCGCACTTTCACTACGTGTGAAGGACTGATGATGTAAAACTCCGGACGAGTCTTTTTTTGCGCACACCAGTTTTTTAACACAGCAGTCTGACATAAAGGGGGGGTGAAACACTCAGTTTCAGTCAATCTCATGTTAATCTTGAGTACCTATAGAGTAATATTGCATCCATAATATCTCCAAAAAGTCTTTAGTTTTATTATATTTATAAAAGAAAGATAGGCTGTACCGAGTCTTTCCGGAAAAAGCAGAGCGGGTGGAGGCGTGCCGTGTGGGCGGAGCTAACACGCCGATAGACACACACACAGATATTTGAAGCAGTTCTACTCACCGCCTGCGGTTCCAAAGCAAGACCGTTAACCTTTAGAGTTGGGACTGATCCATCCTTGAGAACTAAACGATTAGCAAATCCAGCTTCGAACTGGGCCTTGTTTATAAAAAAATCATCCTCGAAATGCATGGAACAAACAAGAACACTTGCACAACTGTGTTGATGTTCTGGAAAAACAAACTCCATCCACTGGTCCCTTAACGCTTGATTCTTTGGGAATCTGTGCAGTGTTGTCTTGCCTTGGCAACCGAAAACACACTTCTTTGGTGACATATTGCAGCGCAGCCGATGCACAGCGCTTTGATGGGCATAGGTTACGGCTATCGCTCTACAGCTGCGCGCGCGCCCTTCCGAGAGAAGTGCCCTTAGGACCGTATAAGGAAATTCCGGCGCATCTGACGTCATACGCACCCATACTCGAAAAAAACGTTCCGAAACTTGTGACAATCAGGAAGGAGTATTTTGAGAACAGAAATACTCAATCAAACGTACAACTTAATTTTTGAAACTTTGTCCATGTTTAGCATGGGAATCCAACTCTTTAACAGTGTAAAAAACTCACTATGCATGAAATAGCATTTCACCCCCCCTTTAATGACTGAGACCTAATAGTGTGACATGGCTTCCAGCGGGGATCATGCTCGACTCGTACAGTCTGACAAGCAACAGTCGTAAATAACTATTATAAATCGTACAGTGTGCAACCGGCTTTATATTAAAGGACAAGTTGGGTATTTTACACTTAAAGCCCTGTTTTAAGATCGTTTCTGATGAAATAGAACGGTTGAGATTGACATTTGGACACATGCTGCTGGCCCGAGAACAGGTTTATTGTAGTTTTTGTCCAACTCCATTGACTTGACTTGGACAAAAACCACGATAAAACCGGTTGGAAAGCATCTTTTGCAGCGATGTTTGTGTGAGCATATCAGTGAACACCCCAGACCACTCGCTGAGTTTCACGTCTTTGTAAACTAAAGTTTAATGCGTTTTAGGTAGGATTGTTCCAGTGCACCTATGCAACCATTGTGGAAGTGGGGGGTGCAACCACAGAAACAGCAGCATGTGTCCAAATTTCAATCTTAACCGTTTTATTTCATCAGAAACGATCTTAAAACAGGGCTTTAAGTGTAAAATACCCAACTTGTCCTTTAAGCAAACCTATCAGAAGCTTTGATTGGTTCCATCACAGTAACGTACCTCGCTCTCCTCAGTTGAACTTCCAGTGGGAACATCCTGTATGACACAAGCATTGCTGTGATTATCGTCAGCAGCCGTTGAAGTTCTTTGGCTGTCGGTCTTTCTCTCAGCACTGTGATGTTGTTCAGTGGGCTCGTACGGGAGGTCCTCCACCCCTGCCTCCTGCAGGAGCTTCATGGTGTCATCTTTGAGATCCATACTTGCTTCAAGAGCCTTGTTCTTGGGTCGATCTGCAGGTTTGGGAGCATTTGAGCTTTCTGATCTCAATCCATCCGCTGACATCTTATCCTCCGTCCTGCTGACACCAGACTCTTGTTTCAGAGGGTGTGTCTGAGGAGGACTGGGATCTTCTTTCTTCATGCTCACAGATGGAGGCTTGTGGTTTTGATGGCTGCTGGGCTTTGGCTGTGGCGGCTTGGCTTTTCTTTGTTTCTGGGATTGGATTTCAATGTCTATATTGCTAATAGTGGCTAAAGATTGGCCTGTTGAGTTAAGAATGTCCCGACTGGGAGATTTTGGGGGCAAGGGTGGGTTAGGAACCACATTTTCCACTGCACCGTTACAGAGTTGTTGTCGGTTCAAGTTATTTTCTTCAACCTATGAAATGTGGAAAACAAAACAGATGAACTGAGATCATGTCCACACACATGGTCTTAAAATCAGCAACTTGGCAGCTTCATCCTACCTTTTTTCTTCTGGTCTTTGACTCAGAGTTAAAACACTGTGGATGAACTTCATGATTTGGTTTGGTTGAGCCATCTGATCCGGCACTGGGTTTGCTGTTCACTGCATTTTTCCGTGATTTGGCAGTTTTCCTGTTAGATCAGTAACAGGACAGACCATTGTAAACAAGGGGTGAAAACGTACACAAAATAATTCGTACACATGTACCAAATGAATACAGTATTGTTTTAATCAGTGCACGTGTGGAACTTCTCTGTGTGCGGAATGTCATTTTAAACTCTGATTTTCCTCCTTATGTGGGGCAATATCGTTTAAATCAATAGGTGCCGTGGGGCACCTAAAGGATTATTAGGAACACCATACTAATACTGTGTTTGACCCCCTTTCGCCTTCAGAACTGCCTTAATTCTACGTGGCATTGATTCAACAAGGTGCTGAAAGCATTCTTTAGAAATGTTGGCCCATATTGATAGGATAGCATCTTGCAGTTGATGGATATTTGTGGGATGCACATCCAGGGCACGAAGCTCCCGTTCCACCACATCCCAAAGATGCTCTATTGGGTTGAGATCTGGTGACTGTGGGGGCCATTTTAGTACAGTGAAACTCATTGTCATGTTCAAGAAACCAATTTGAAATGATTCAAGCTTTGTGCCATGGTGCATTATCCTGCTGGAAGTAGCCATCAGAGGATGGGTACATGGTGGCCATAAAGGGATGGACATGGTCAGAAACAATGCTCAGGTAGGCCGTGGCATTTAAACGATGCCCAATTGGCACTTAGGGGCCTAAAGTGTGCCAAGAAAACATCCCCCACACCATTACACCACCACCACCAGCCTGCACAGTGGTAACAAGGCATGATGGATCCATGTTCTCATTCTGTTTACGCCAAATTCTGACTCTACCATCTGAATGTCTCAACAGAAATCGAGACTCATCAGACCAGGCAACATTTTTCCAGTCTTCAACTGTCCAATTTTGGTGAGCTCTTGCAAATTGTAGCCTCTTTTTCCTATTTGTAGTGGAGATGAGTGGTACCCGGTGGGGTCTTCTGCTGTTGTAGCCCATCCGCCTCAAGGTTGTGAGTGTTGTGGCTTCACAAATGCTTTGCTGCATACCTCGGTTGTAACGAGTGGTTATTTCAGTCAAAGTTGCTCTTCTATCAGCTTGAATCAGTCGGCCCATTCTCCTCTGACCTCTAGCATCAACAAGGCATTTTCGCCCACAGGACTGCCGCATACTGGATGTTTTTCCCTTTTCACACCATTCTCTGTAAACCCTAGAAATGGTTGTGCGTGAAAATCCCAGTAACTGAGCAGATTGTAAAATACTCAGACCGGCCCGTCTGGCACCAACAACCATGCCACGCTCAAAATTGCTTAAATCACCTTTCTTTCCCATTCTGACATTCAGTTTGGAGTTCAGGAGATTGTCTTGACCAGGACCACACCCCTAAATGCATTGAAGCAACTGCCATGTGATTGGTTGATTAGATAATTGCATTAATGAGAAATTGAACAGGTGTTCCTAATAATCCTTTAGCTGAGTGTACTTTGATGTTGCAACACATCTGAAAAATAATAAAGCACACAGAGTGAGTTGCTCCCGAATAAGTGCACAATCCAACCGGTCTTAAACATGAGAAATGCTTTAAATTAAGCACTTCAAACTAAATCATAAACCTACATAGCTTTCCTCACTGTCAGCGCACAATTCAAATCTTACAGATGTATACTTACCTGTAAATGTTACAAATTCAAGTTTTTTAATTTCTCATAAAGGATTATCCTGACAGAAAGCGAGTCAGAATTTAACTTTAAATTTGCAGACTTCAATGAACAAGTGCCGGAGAGCATGTGTGTCAAATAGATGGAGGATTAGAACGAGAACCTTATTCTAAAATATTTGGCTAACATATTAGCATCAACAAGTAAAAGCACTTCAAATCTCTTCCGCCAATTACAAAAGCAGCATAAACTGCAGTGTATGCAGCAATATTGACAGACTTTTTTTACTTTTTTTATTTAAAAAACCCCAAAAAAACATGGTTAGTTTTTCCCCCTCCTGTACCAAAAACATACCAAACCAAGGTATGTCCCGAAGCGTCATCTTTGTGTACCGTTACAACTAGTGATGCACCGATGTATCCGCCGCTTATTTTTATAGGGCAATTTTTTATCAATTTAAAACCATCGGTATATCGGCTACAGCATGAAAAAGCCGATATTACAAACAGATGGTTTACTGTGTGAAGACACTGAGATGTATAATGTCTGTTGCACAATCCAACGCTTTTTCTTTGGGTAAAATAATTAAATACTTGCCAAAACAAATTGAAATCAGCAGAGCTCAACAATAAGGACTGCCTGGGGGAAGCATGAACAACGCGCGGGACAACTGATGGAGCGGTGACTCTTCCAATCAGGCCAGCGCTGCATCTTCACGAAAGTTTATCCTTTGCACGTGTCTATAAAGCTGCAGTCCGTAGCTTTTTTTGGGTTAAAAAATTTCCAAAATACATATTTAAGAAAATACATAACTAGCCAGTGTTCAGAACTCTCTGCTTGCCGTAGCTCGATTCAAAGCGGTAAGCTTGTAATAATGTTTTTAATTCCAGTGGTACTGGTGGATTTCCGCGGGAGATTCGAGCATGTCTTTGCGTCATTACGTCACATCTGTACACACACATCTGCACACACACATCTGCACACACACACATCTGTACACACACACATCTGTACACACACACATCTGTACACACACACATCTGTACACACACACATCTGTACACACACACATCTGTACACACACACATCAGTACACACACACATCAGTACACACACACATCTGTACACACACACATCTGTACACACACACATCTGTACACACACACATCTGTACACACACACATCTGTACACACACACATCTGTACACACACACATCTGTACACACACCTGTACACACACATCAGTACACACACATCAGTACACACACATCTGTACACACACATCTGTACACACAAATCTGTACACACACACACATCTGTACACACACACATCTGTACACACACACATCTGTACACACACACATCTGTACACACACACACATCTGTACACACACACACATCTGTACACACACACATCTGTACACACACACATCAGTACACACACACACATCTGTACACACACATCTGTACACACACATCTGTACACACACATCTGTACACACACATCAGTACACACACATGAGTACACACACATCTGTACACACACACATCTGTACACACACACATCTGTACACACACACATCTGTACACACACACACATCTTCTGTACACACACACACATCTGTACACACACACATCAGTACACACACACATCAGTACACACACATCTGTACACACACACATCAGTACACACACACATCAGTACACACACACATCAGTACACACACATCTGTACACAAAGAAGAGTCTCGGCTAGTCGGCTATATTGCGTGTGAGGATGCTGGAGGTGGAGATTTATAGCCTTTTCTCACAGCTCTTGATATAATTAAACTTATCAATTTGATGGTGGATCCAGAAAGGATCAAACGACGATCACCAGTGACAACAGATTCACCCGCTGTAACATGCAGAAGACTTCGTTCGGACTTCGGAGCGGCTACAGAAAAAAAGAGACTGCAACCGGCCCATGCGAAAACAAGGATAATATCGGAAGGACATTACAGTCACGCAATGCTGACGTTGTTAACATTAACAATTTGAGAACAAAGTATAATTTGTACGGTTTTGCGTGATATGATAACTTATAAGCGATTGTTAGATTTAATCAGCGCGATTTACTGCAATGTCAGAACCAGAACAAAGGTGGATGTTTCTTACTAGTTCAGATTACATTTCCCGGTGAAAATTCTTATGTTGGTCATACTTCCAAAAAGAATAATCTGTGATTCTGAATGCCAGTATCGACACCGGCGGCGACTGACAGACACACACTCTCTTCAAACACTGTGTTCATCCGCGCTGTGCCGTGTCGAGGGTGTTGAAGTACAACTCATGTAAAGTTGATAATTCCGCGAATGACTGCAATTGCAGATTTCGAACAGAGATGGCGACAAAGAGGAAAACCTACGGACTGCAGCTTTAAGCATTGCTCATTTAAATATTCAAGCGCAAGAAGACGCGAAAGAGAACTCAATTCTGCTCACAGTGTGAGAGGTTTTATGTGCGCACGCATACAAAGTACACGCCTGAAAAGCCACGTCTCAGGGCACAAATACTGAATTGAGTTCTCTTTCACTTCTAATTCACACAAATGTATATCAAAATGCATACCTTGGCGAGTCTCCTTGTAAACATAGTTGGTTATCAGAGGCGGACAGAGTACACAGCTTCATTACTTGAGTAAAAGTACAGATACCCCTTGCAAAATTTTACTCAAGTACAAGTAAAGTACTACAGTCAGATGTCTACTTAAGTAAAATTACTGAAGTACTTGTTTTTAAAAGTACTTGAGTATCAAGAGTACATTTTCTAAATATTGCATTACTACTGCCACAGTGCCTACATTTATGCACAGAAACGTCCCACATGGAGTTATGAAAAATGTTAATGTTAATACCTTGGAGAATGTAAAAGGAATTGAAAGTAAAATCAAGTCATTTTCATCTTTTTACCATGTTGCTTTATTTAACATTTAAGAAAATGTCTGAAAATTCAGAAAATTTAAATAGTCTGGCGAGGTGGGGCCACGGGTTGGCACATTCCCGGGATGGACCTGCTGCGTCTCCATCCATGGTTTCGTCTCTTATCTAAATCTGACCATGGAGTTGACTTTGGCGGAAAGCTGAAGGTGATTGCTGATAGGCTGTCTCAATATTGGCGCCTGCACAATCCAATCACGTTTGAGAGGGAAACAACAAATTGAGGGTTTCCGAGATTTTTCTTTTTTCCTTTTTTTTTTTTTAGAAGTAGTAACGGGTACTCACGGTTATGGATAGAAATGTCGTGGAGTAAAGAGTACAATATTTGCCTCTCAAATGTACTTGAGAAAAGTCATGAGTACTCCACAAAAATGATACTCGAGTAAAGTACAGATCCCTCAAAATTGTACTTAAGTACTGTACTCAAGTAAATGTACTGTACCGTTACTCTCCAGCTCTGTTGGTTATGTCTTAAATTAATGTAAACAGTCGCTTGTGTGCCAGTATATTGAATCCGTGCAGCTCTTAAAGTGACAGCAGCCTAATATTCCTGCAGCGCTGCTGTCTGTTTTAGAGTTAATCAACAAACTACATCACTACTCTTGACTAAATAACTTTTGTAGCTTTAATAAAGATGAATGTATATTTCATTTATACAATAAATAATATATTTAGCATTTTATTACTTAATTTCAGTAACTACTGTTAGCCCTACCTGAAAAGCACTGTTTCTTTCATATGCATCTTTGTTCTGTTGTATTAGTTCTTATGTTATGTCGGTCTTTTTGGCCTAGCAAACTTTGTAGTTTTTTTCACATGCTTTTGCAACAGGACGCGGCGCTGCGCTGTGAAACCCATTCATTTCAATGGCTTGCGCCGCGCGAGGACGTTTTGAAAGCGCAAGCGGATCTAGCTAGACCGGAAACAAAACAACAGGCACGCCGCACACACTCGTTTGGGCTTGCGAGCCGGCCAAATAGTAGTTTAACGTTAAGATTTGAGTGGATGACGAGCGCGAGACGCCGAAATGGATGCCAATAAGATTCTGAATGGAAAGTTTACTTTTAAAAAGTTGCCAAATGGTTCCATTGACGAGACCAAAGTGATCTGTGTGTTTTGTCGTTGTGACCTGAGCTATCATCATCGCAGCGCGTCCAGTCTGAAATACCACTGATGATGGCCAAGCACACACACACACACACACACACACACACACACACACACACACACAGCTGATCCGAATTCTCCGCCCCCTCGTCAATTTCAGGACCTCGTCAGTATTTCTTTCACCCTTTTATTGATGGACAGTGTTACATTGTGTGAGAGATTATTTGCTCCAAGTGAGAATGTTAGGGTGAAATAGAACACTGTATATGTCAATATTGTTTTCAATAAAAAACATTTGCACAAAGCAAGCCGATCCACTTTTCCATGTTGATAAGAGCATTAAAATTAGAAAAATAACGGGACAAAAAGAAATCAAGAGACATTTAGAATAGATAAAAATGTGCGATTAATTGCGATTAACTATGACATTAATGCGATTAATCGCGATTAAATATTTTAATCGTTTGACAGCACTAATTAAAACGCTAATCTATTTTAAATGACAAAAGATTAAACAAGAGAGCAAATGACAAATATCGGTTTTTGGACAATATTTGTTTGTTAAAAATGGCGAATCCCTAGTTACAAACCTATTGAAATCTTTTTATTTGAATTGTATTGGAGAGGTAGGAATAAGCACATACTCTTTTGTGGCCTCCAGGAACATGGAGATCTGGTGTTTAATATACGGCTGTCGGAGGATGTGTTTGACGTCCGGCCTGTCCTCTGGTTTCTTACACAGCATCCGCTTTATCAGTTCTCCCAGCTGGGGGTCGTACTTACTCGGCATCTGGGGCAGCTGAATATTAAAAATGAATAATTAATAATACTGTTAATATAATATGAGGAAGGATGAAATGAGTACTGATATGAATGGAAAGCTCTTTAGATCTGACAAATGCAAATATTCGCAGTTCAGCAGTGAAACAGACGAGGAATATAATCGTCCTACCTTCCCTTCTACGATCCGATAGACGAGAGAGTTCATGTCTTTTGCGTTGAAGGCATGTTTTAGAGTTGCCATCTCGTACACGCAACATCCCAGAGCCCATATGTCCGACTGCAAACACAAACAAACATAACTGAAATGAACAGACATAATGATTCATCTTAAACACATTTGGTTACCCTAAAAATCCAGGTTACCCTAAAATTAAAATTTTTTTAAAAAGAAGCTATTTTAGGACTGTTGAGATTTCTGTCTTAAAAATTAAGAAATCCTCAGACATTTTATGTTTGATATTTTACTTGAGTTTTTTTTTTTTTCAAACCAATTCTCCATTACATTATGTAACCTTTTACATTTCAAATAATATTTTATATAAGAATATACACTCACCTAAAGGATTATTAGGAACACCTGTTCAATTTCTCATTAATGCATTTATCTAATCAACCAATCACATGGCAGTTGCTTCAATGCATTTAGGGGTGTGGTCCTGGTCAAGACAATCTCCTGAACTCCAAACTGAATGTCAGAATGGGAAAGAAAGGTGATTTAAGCAATTTTGAGCGTGGCATGGTTGTTGGTGCCAGACGGGCCGGTCTGAGTATTTCACAATCTGCTCAGTTACTGGGATTTTCACGCACAACCATTTCTAGGGTTTACAGAGAATGGTGTGAAAAGGGAAAAACATCCAGTATGCGGCAGTCCTGTGGGCGAAAATGCCTTGTTGATGCTAGAGGTCAGAGGAGAATGGGCCGACTGATTCAAGCTGATAGAAGAGCAACTTTGACTGAAATAACCACTCGTTACAACCGAGGTATGCAGCAAAGCATTTGTGAAGCCACAACACGCACAACCTTGAGGCGGATGGGCTACAACAGCAGAAGACCCCACCGGGTACCACTCATCTCCACTACAAATAGGAAAAAGAGGCTACAGTTTGCAAGAGCTCACCAAAATTGGACAGTTGAAGACTGGAAAAATGTTGCCTGGTCTGACGAGTCTCGATTTCTGTTGAGACATTCAGATGGTAGAGTCAGAATTTGGCGTAAACAGAATGAGAACATGGATCCATCATGCCTTGTTACCACTGTGCAGGCTTGTGGTGGTGGTGTAATGGTGTGGGGGATGTTTTCTTGGCACACTTTAGGCCCCTTAGTGCCAATTGGGCATCGTTTAAATGCCACGGCCTACCTGAGCATTGTTTCTGACCATGTCCATCCCTTTATGGCCACCATGTACCCATCCTCTGATGGCTACTTCCAGCAGGATAATGCACCATGTCACAAAGCTCGAATCATTTCAAATTGGTTTCTTGAACATGACAATGAGTTCACTGTACTAAAATGGCCCCCACAGTCTCCAGATCTCAACCCAATAGAGCATCTTTGGGATGTGGTGGAACGGGAGCTTCGTGCCCTGGATGTGCATCCCACAAATATCAATCAACTGCAAGATGCTATCCTATCAATATGGGCCAACATTTCTAAAGAATGCTTTCAGCACCTTGTTGAATCAATGCCACGTAGAATTAAGGCAGTTCTGAAGGCGAAAGGGGTCAAACACAGTATTAGTATGGTGTTCCTAATAATCCTTTAGGTGAGTGTATATATATATATATATATATATATTTAACTTTTAAAATGGCTTAAATGTTAATTGCTAAATAAAAACATAAACAATATGATATATATTTTTGTCTTTTGACTTTGGGGTATAAAAATAATAATGGTTTTGTGACATTCACCTATTTAGCAAAAGTGTATAGACATGATCATTGACGTAGCCTGAATCTAGAGCTGCACTAACTGTCATGGTGAGCATGCAGTACCTTGTAGTTGTACGGTTTGTTGGAGAAGAGTTCTGGACTCATGTAGTAAGGTGTGCCGATCAGAGTGCTGGCCATATCGTTCTGGTTCTCCAAGACCCGTGCGATGCCCAGATCACCCACTTTGATTATATTGGTTTTGGTCAAGAAAATATTCTGTGTCTTCAGATCTCGATGCAGAATGTGCTTCTCATGTAAATACTACGGATATTAAAAAAAAGGCAACGGCTTCATTATTCAGCTGAAACTTCGGAAAGGACAATTGGACAGACTGATGGATATTGACTTACCTGAAGGGCCATGGCTATTTGAACAAACCACTCCACCACCTGTCTCTCGGGCAGCAGTTCTCCCTTCTGCAGCTTGAGTCTGTGGTACAGATCTCCTCCCTCACAGAAACCCATCACGATGTAGAGCTGGCAGTCCTCGCCTTCCCATGATTCCCGGTATGTGACTATGTTGGGATGCTTGAGCTGAGAAAGGAGCTGTGCCTCTTGCTCCGCGGCTCGCCGTTCACGTCTGGAGGATGTTCTCAGGTTCAGCTTCTTAATCACATACTGCCAAAAACATACAACTTTGCACATAAGACGTGAATCCTAGTGGAAAATGTCTACATTTTAAAGGATTAGTTCACTTCAAAATGAAAATTCATCATGTACTCACCCTCAAGTTGTTTCTTTCTTTTGATGAAAGGGATAGTTCACCCCAAAATGTAAACTCTGTCAGTAATTACTCTCCCTCATGTTGTTCAACCCCGTAAGACTTTCGTTCATCTTCGGAACACAAATTAAGATATTTTGGATTAAATCTGAGAGCTGGATCACTCCTCCATAGGCTTCACGTCACACGCAGGCTCACTATTGGCCGACGCTGGTCATGTGTGTGTGTGTGTGTGACGTACAACACAGAAGCGCTGCGCTGTTACACTACGTGAAATCTCACGGCCCACAGAGAAGGAAATGAATAGTTGAATAAAGTCGTTATTTTTGTGTGTTTTTTTGCGCACTAAAAGTATTCTCGTCGCTTGATAAACTTAAGGTTGAGCCGCTGTCGTCACTCGGACTATTTTAACGATGTCTTTCATAACTTTTGGGCCGGCCAGTTTCGATCCCTTAAGAAGCCTATGGAGGAGTGATCCAGCTCTCAGATTTAATCACAAATATCTTCATTTGTGTTCCGAAGATGAACGAAAGTCTTACGGGGTTGAACAACATGAGGGAGAGTAATTACTGACAGAGTCTTCATTTTGGGGTGAACTATCCCTTAAACACTAAGGAAGATTTTGAAGAATGTCAGTAAACAAATGGACCCCATTGCCGTCCATAGTATTTTTTTTCCTACTATGGAAGTCAATGGGGTTCATCAACTGTCTGGTTACTGACATTCTTCAAAATATCTTCCTTTGTGTTCAGCAGGAGAAAGAAACTCGTACAGGTTTGGAACAACTTGAGGATGAGTAAATGATGACAGAATTTTCGTTTTGAAGTGAACTATTCCTTAAGGGAAAACAATTTAAAGTTTGTTGCGCAACGAAGGAACGGAACATATCAGCAATCATATTTTCCAAACCCAAATATCCAATATTTTCAGTTTGTATAAAGGAAAGCATATGTTTTAAGTGAGGCTAACTAGTTCTTTTAAGATTTTCCACAATTTAATCATTTTTTTCAGTATATTAAAGTCACCATGAAATCAAAATGGACAATTCCTATTTTTTATGGAACATTGCAGTACTTATTATAAATTATTTATCCATGCCGATTTTTTTTAATACATGTTCCCTCATAATATTTAATCTAAATAACTTCACCTCCCTCTTGCATCGACAACCTGTCACTCACATGAGATCCACCAATAGCAAACCACAACCACCCAATCAATTCCTAATGGACAAAATCAAGCCCCGCCCACATTTGTTCTTGTTCCAGAAGCCGTTTCACTCGGATATTTGTCAAAATAGGGAAGAAAACTTTTGTTTTATGCCGACTTTAAATGGTCCTGCTTGACAAACAACAATAAATAAGCAATTAAACAATCACAAAAACGGTATGTATGAAAATTAATTAAAGACAAGAGTAATTCAAATTTTTATTTAAACTTAATTTGCAAGACAAAATGCTGTTTAAAATAGTTTTAGACTGAGCATTATACACGCCACGGCAGGATGTCAACTGCCTTTATAGTAATTAATCAAATAATAAGAACACTTAAAACATTGCTTTATATGCTTAACAGATCTGATTAATATTTTTCATACATATTCATATTTGAAGATGATCACTCTGATATGAAGTATCCTATAGGCTCATAATTTGCCTGTTAAATGAAGTTATTATATATACAGTGGTGTGAATAAGTTATTACCCCCATGCTAAAGTTGCCTAAAAAGAGGAATAAAAAATCATCTTTTGGAAATTGATCTTAATGCCTTAATTAGAAAAATGAGGAAAAATCCAACCTTTAAGGACACCAATTTTCTTTGTGTATGAATAATGTATCATAAATAAATAAATGTTCTTCCTTAAAATACAGGGTGCATAAGTCAGGCCCCCCCTATGTTAAATTCCCATAGAGTCAGGCAGATTTGTATTTTTAAAGGCCAGTTATTTCATGGATCCAGGATAATATGCATCCTGATAAAGTTCCCTTGGCCTTTGGAATTAAAATATGGCATGGTGGCATGGTGTTATTTCAGTTAGCCTAATAGCTGGTTTGATTTGCATTGAAAGATGATCTTATGGAAAGTACCCCATGCCAATCTCTAGGTATGGTGAAGGGAATGTGATGATGTGGGTCTATTTTAATTCCAAAGGCCAAGGGAACTTTATCAGGATGCATATTATCCTGGATCCATGAAATAACTGGCCTTTAAAAATAAAAATCTGCCTGACTCTATGGGACTTTAACATAGGGGGGGGCCTGACTTATGCACCCTGTATTTTAAGGAAGAACATTTATTTATTTATGATACATTATTCATACAAAAAGAAAATTGGTGTCCTTAAAGGTTGGATTTTTCCTCGTTTTTCTAATTAAGGCATTAAGATCAATTTCCAAAAGATGATTTTTTATTCCTCTTTTTAGGCAACTTTAGCATGGGGGTAATAACTTATTCACACCACTGTAAGTGTTACGTACAAGGAATATTGCTAACAATTTACAATAAGGTCTCATTAGTTAATGAATTTTTAACATGAATTAATAATGAGCAATACATTTGTTAAAAATGGCAGTATTGTTACAGCATTAATTAATCTTTGTTAATGATAGTTAATAAAAATCCATCCGTTCACTGTTTGTTCAGTCAGTGCATCAACCAATGCTAATACAACATTTGATTTTAATAATGTATTAGCAAAGTAACGTTAACTAAGATTAATGAATGCTGTAGAAGTATTGTTAATTCTTAGTTTGTGTTAACTAATGTATTTAACTAATGCATCATACAATAAATATGTAAATAATTCAATAATTAGACATTTTCATGGAAGAGGCTATAACTCTCAGCAGTGAAAACAACCACAACACAATCTGATATGAACTAAGACATGAGTTCAGCTTGGCCAGTAGTGAAAGTGTGTTGTGATTCGCATAACTCTGCCGTTACCGTTACCGTTACCTGTTTACGGTCTGCTTTGTGTCTGACCAGGTTCACCTCCCCGTAGCTCCCCTTCCCCACAACTCGAACGAACAAGTAACTGTCCATGATCCTCTCCCAGAGATGCTGTCTGTATCACATAGCGAGTGGTTTTAAGCCCCTCCGCAGGAGTTCGAGCAGAAGTGAGCGCGTTATTCTCAATGCATCGACGGTGATTTGTCTGTTTGAAACTTGTTTCGGGTGACAGAGGGCGCAGGAATCAGCCAGTTCGGCTTCGGCGTCACCAGGCAACACACTCCGCGTTAACGCTACACACTCCGGTCTAATGTGTGTTCAGTTTCAACACAGCGCCCTCTAGAGGCTCGGCGACACGTGACCAATAAGATGATTTTACAATAATACAATAATTTTACAATAATATTTAATGATATTCATTGCATATTTATCGTTATATATAGGCTATATATGTAATTACATTTCATATTAGACTTATTTTGTCTTCCACATATTGCAAATAGGAAGTTTAAAGTAGTAGAAGTAGATAAGCAAAGGCAAAAATAAGTTTCACCAGTAGATGGCGTAATGTTTTTATTCATGTATTACCCTATGTGCATTACTAAGGTATTACTGTACACATTGGTTGGGTCAGGAGAAGAAAAGTACAACCATCTGCTAGTTGAACAAACCACAAAGTTTTCAAATTTATATATGAATTTTAAATTCAAGCGGTGAATGAAGGATCCGCAAAATATAAAACATGCCATCCATGCCATTGTTAAGTCACATATTTGAATATCCTAAGGGATTCACTATCCAAGCCTTTGCATAGCTTATATATATATATATATATATTCTACAAATTATATATATTGAAATATTTATTATATATATAAAAGAGACTCTCTCTCTCTCTCTCTCTCTCTCTCTCTCTCTCTCTCTCTCTCTCTCTCTCTCTCTCTCTCTCTCTCTCTCTCTCTCTCTCTATATATATATATATATATAATTGTTTTGTCTTTTGGGGGGTGGGGTACTCTAAAAAAGTAATTAATTAGGCTACTAGTTACTGATTACATCTTCATTGCTGTACTAATTAGTCTCTCTACAAATTATTGCATCACTTGTTACTAATTTCTTTCTAAATCCCATATCAACCTTGACCAGTTGAACAATACAAGGATAGACATGAAACTGCTCTTTTAATTCTTTCAAATAAACTATTTAAAATTTCATAAATTATTCTTGAACTGACCCAAGGGAGAAGGTTACATGAAAAACATACATTTTAACATGAAATCCACTATTGTTTTCTTCTAAAGCCTAGTCTATACAGCATTTAATGCAATTAGTTCAAAAGTAACTACATTTCTGAAAAATAAAGAATAATCCCTTACTTTACTTTTTCAGAGGAAATGTGATTAAATTACTGTAATTACTTTGAAATGCACTACACACTGCATATTTATGTGTAGCCTATTGTATAGCTACATAATCACTTATATCACCAAAGACATCGAGGGACATCAGGAGAGATTTTCTTAAACAAATGTCCCCATCAGCACATCCTGAGCTCCAGGGAATAATAAGGATATTAGATAATTCCAGCTATTAGATCAAATTCTGGGAACAGCGAGTCAGACAGAGCTAACCCCGCCTCTATTACCTGATTCAGCGATCTCTGTCCTCTGATTGGCGCAGAGCTGCAGAGTGCCCGTGACGTCGGGCGCGCGCTGAGACTGGGTCAGCGCGAGGAACCAGCAGTCAGTCAGATCTCTAGCGCGAGCGCAAACGCGTTCACATTACAGCACGAGACGCGCCTCGCACCTCTCCGACACACAGCACAGGTACACACATTTAACTTTCTATTTCACACGAAATGTTCAGCACAGCTGTGCGTGATCGATAACCGCTGCTGTTTTTTCGCTGTCTTTTTAGTAGCCTGTAATGCTGGATTTATGTATTGATGTCATGTAATGTAGGCTATGCATGCATGCACACAATGTGCATTAAACTTTTAATATTATTATTAATAATGATGCACATTAATAATAGCTCTGCACTTCGCAAATGGAGGCTGGTCCACCAGATTAAGAGCTTACAGTTTTGTATTACAGCTGGTTGACTTTATGATGAGTTATCTCACTCATTCACAGGGTGGATGTGGTTTACCACTCGAAGTCTTTGAACGCACTGAAACTTTGACAGATGATTGCTTGAAAGAACACCAAAGAATGAAGAACAGAAACAATAAATGGTTTTGTTTAAGTTGTCACATGAGGCATCAAATGCTCCTTTTTCCAGATAAAACGATTTTACTATTGTATTGAATACTATTCAAGTTTAAAACTCAAAACATATCCCCAAATAATATATTTTTTTTTTTTGCAAAAATGAACTTCCGCAGCATTGTGACGTCAGACAAATGAATATTCAGCTAATTATCATTTGCGTTTTGCAGGCTTTGTTGTTTTAGCGGCATAAAAACTGATTTCCTTGACAGTCCATTGATATCTTAGCGGTAATAGTTTTCATAACTGTTATTATGATGACAATTAAATCTATGAACACCTGCTGTAGTACAGCGACAGACGTCAAAGTCGCTTGTTTGTGAACAATGCTTTATTCCTAATATCAGAATACTATGCTAACAAATAATAACAATAAGAGTACAATGTGGGAACATGGTCATATTTTGCGCTGTTTCCTTCTGAAGAATCCCAATGGGAGAAATAAGCAATTGAAGTTATTTTAAACAAGATCCCTGATCATTTCAGTGTGAGTTGAACAGTTTGAGCGGCACATTTCAGCACGAATTGTTTAGTGAACTTGTCAGACTGTGTTTTTTTTTTTTTTTTTAAATGGCGCAGTTAAAAACTATCCGCAAACCCACAGCACAGTGCTTTATCTCTTCACATTTGACATGTAAACAAATAGTAGACATGTAAACAAATAGTAGACATGTAGACAAATAGCAAACATGGCCTGTTCCACTCTAAAGGTCAGAGAGATGCAAACATATCAGGGATGCATTGATATGGAACATTTGGTTGATATCATAACCAATCATTCTATATATTTGGAAGTCGATAACCCATATATACACGATAAATAAACATTTTGATGTAAATAAACAAAAGCCTCACCTACATATGGAAGCTTGTTTCCGCCACAGAATGAAAAATAAAAAAGGTAATTGCGACTTTTTATCTCACAATTCGGACTTTTTTTCTCACAATTGCGAGTTTACATCTCAGAATTGTGAGATAGAAAGTCAGAATTGCGTGATATAAAATCGCAATTGCGTGTTATAAAGTCAGAATTGCGAGATATAAAGTCAGAATTTATTGATATAAAGTCGCAATTGCAGGTTATAAAGTCATAATTGCGTGATAAAGTCGTAATTGCATGATATAAAGTCAGAATTTATTGATATAAAGTCGCAATTGCAGGTTATAAAGTCATAATTGAGTGATAAAGTCGCAATTGCGTGATATAAAGTCAGAATTGCGTGATATAAAGTCAAAATTGCGTGTTGTAAAGTCAGAATTGTGAGATATATACTATTCTGAGGGGGAAAAAGTTAGTCTTTTTTCCCCCTTAGAATTGGCCTGATACCTCACAATTGCGAGTTTATATCTCACAATTCTGAGAAGAGATGTCAGAATTTCGAGACATAAACTCGCAATTATGTGTTATAAAGTCAGAATTGTGAGATAAAAAGTCGTAATTCTGTCTTTTTTTCTCGCAATTGCGACTTTATTTCTCATAATTGCAACTTTATATCTCGCAATTGCGACTTTATTCTCAGAATTGCGACTTTATATCTCACAATTGCGACTTTATTTCTCAGAATTGCGACTTTATTTCTCAGAATTGCGACTTTATTTCTCAGAATTGCGACTTTATATCTCGCAATTGCGACTTTATTTCTCACAATTCTGACTTCACATCTCGCAATTGTGAGATAAAAAGCCGCAATTATTTATTTATTTATTTTATTCAGTGGCGGAAACAAGCTTCCATATCTACACCATTATGTCCAAGACTTCAAATTATATCAAATATATAGCATGTATGTACTACTGCTTTTATTTGGTAATCTTAACCTAACAAAAAGTCATTTTTTTCACCCTAAAAAATATTTGACCTAATGTAGTCTAGCCTAGAAAACTCTTCTAATATATATATCAACGTACTTTTCTTATCCGACAGACAGTGATAACATACAAATATTAAGCATAAAACATTTATCAGCCGATACCGATATGACCACCAATGTATTGCTCATCCCAATACAAAAATAATTTAGAAGAAAAGGGAAATAAAACTGTATTACATCATGATGACTTCTTGAAAATATATGAAACCACCAAAACTGCACATTTCTGACCATAAAAGGACAAACTTAGTCTGAAATGGCTTAATATTTTGGTTTCATTACTGTTATCTTATCTCAACATAGCATCTGTTTCTTTTAACCAGTCGTTCGAGTGGTTCCACATGTGTGCTCTTTCTCTTTCAGCCTCTTCGCATTTCTTTCCAGCATTCTTGTGCTATTTCTTCCTCTTTGCCAAACAGCCAATGCTGGCATTATTTAATTAAAGCGCTTTGGCTGTTTGATTCCCTCACTTGCACATTTTTAGGGATCAGACAGCCCGTCGGTTTTAGCAATTAATATATCACATGTAGTCAATAACAGCCTATTGTTTGAGCAGTTGCTGCACTGGAATAGATGTAGTCTTTATCAGCTGTTGTGGGCTGCTCCGACAGCCAGAATGTGATCGTGATGTGCAGAGAGATGCTTTAATGTTAGGACTGGTTAGAAGGGACGCCTTCGTTTGCATTGTCATCTGTGGAGTTCTGTTCTAGGCTGTAGAAGGAAATAAAGTCATGCATTTTAAGTGTTCTGAAATAGTGTCAAAGTGGCAGCTGAACTTCCCTGTGCTTTCACAATGCATTCACTTCCCTTTAGTGTCGAATATGGCGTTATATGTGTGCCTCAATCCTGAGCGAGTAATTGTAAGTTTTGAGCACAGCGAACTATATTTTGCAAGCACATTACATTATATTTTGAACAGAAATTAACAATTGCACAAAAAAAAATCGTTTGAGAAAAGAAAAAACGATTCCGTGCTCAATAAATGTATTTGCTATTATCCATATTAACGTGCAATAATAACCCCTCTCACGCAGATTACAGGTGCTCTCTCACAACCTTATTCCCTGCGCTCCTGTCAAGTCCCTCTCTCTCTCTCTCAACCTCTTAATTCTGCGCGCGCTCAACTCTTGACACACACGCTCGCTCAAC